CTTGATCTGAGACATCCATTTTCTCTTGCCCTCGGACATTGGTGTCCCTGGTTCTCTGTCTTTCGGACTCTGAATTATACCACTAGCTTTCCTGGTTCTCTAGCTTGCAGGTGGCAGACTGTGGGACTTCTTGGCTTCCATAACCACGTGAGCCAACCCTATAATAAATCTCTTATATTATATGTCTCTCTATATATCCTATTGGTTCTGTTTCTCCGGAGACCACTAATACAGGTGGCGACTGGTTATAGGAAGAAAAATTAAGCAGGGTAAGGGGATGGAGACAGCGGGCATCGTGCCTCTGCCATACCAGGACCCAAGATTCAGGCTTCTTTTACTTAAAACTTGGCTCCATCTCTTGGAAGCTGTGTGTCTTCAGGAAAGCCACTTACCTCTCTGAGCTGCAGAAAGTGACTATCTCCAGCAGGTATTCGGTTTCCTCTGCAGATTCACAGGTTCCCAGTCTTACGAAGATGGAGTTGGCCAAATTTGTTTTTTGTGGTCTGAGTCTTTGGGTACCTTGTCTCCCCAGGTGGTCCCTGAAGCTCTGCTGGCAGAATGTGGGGACGCCAGGAGCTCCTGTAAGCAGGGTGCTGTTTATCTTGTCGCCACTTTCTCCCATCTTTGTTTGCTGTACTCTGAGTACCTGGGATGGTCCTGCCCCACGTTTGCCTCTGTGGAACCCTGCATCGATGCCCTTTGGCTCTAAGGGCCTTTGAGGCTATGAGGGCCTTTCAGTACAAGGTCTTAGCTGCCTGGGGATCCCCAGTTTGGAGTTCTAGAAACAGCTCTGACACCTATCTGCTGTCTGACGTTTCCCCTCTCTGGTCTCAATCTCCACATCTGTAAAGCCAGGGGGTTGGTGATGGTCTGACTGTCCTCCATGGAATTCCTGAGTCAGGGAGGTCTTTGGGGCTGCCAGGGTGGGTGGAAGGAGAGAGCAGAGGGGCCCAGGGGAGAGCTCCTCATCCCACTTCTCCCAGAAAAAATCCTTTTTAACTGAATTTTACATTCAGGGTTTCTGTGTTTTATACATTGTGATTCAATATACAGTTTTGCTTGGACAAAGGGCTGGAAGCTATAAATAGTTATAGATCTGTAATTATCTGAGATATCTCACCCTTGATATGTAGGGGTCTTCCTGGTTTAGGAACCAAAAGGATGGGAATTTTTAGTCATGGGATTTGATTCTGTATCACTGTTTTTGCTTTCGATCTTTAAATTGTGCGTCCAATAACTTGAGATGTTGGAATATTCATTTCAAGTTGTGCTCATTTGTTTTACAATTATTCTTTCCTGCCCCCAAAAAGTAATTTTTAGATATTCGGAAGGGTAATTAAATGTATTAACTCTGGGGGTCTATTTTATTTTTTTCCTCCAAAAAAATGTATCTTAAGTCAACAGGAAAATAGGATTTTTTTTTATTGTGGTAGAATATATAGAACATAAAATTTACCATCTTAACTATTTTTGAATGTACAATTCAGTGGTATTAAATATTCATAATGTTGAGCAGCCATCACCATCATCTATCTCTATAGCTCTTTTCATCGTGTAAAACTGAAACTTTATACTCATTAAACATTAACTCCGCATTCCTGCCTCCCCCTACCCCCTCGCAACCGCTATTCTGCTTTCTGCCTCTTTGAATTTGACCGCTGTAGGTATTTCATATAAGTGGAATCATACAATATTTGTCTTTTTGTGACTGTCTTATTCACTTAGCATCATGTCCTCAAGGTTCATCCATGTTTTAACATATGTCAGAATTTCCTTCCTTTTTAAGGCTGAGTAATATTTTGTTGTATGTATATACCACATTTTGCTTATCCATTCATCCTTTGATGGACACTTGGGTTGCTTCCACCTTTTGGCTGTTGTGAGTAATGCTGCTATGAACATGGGTATACAAATATCTCTTTGAGACCTTGCTTTCAATTCTTTTGGATATATACCCAGAAGTGGAATTGCTGGGTCATATAGTAATTGTATTTTTAATTTTTTGAGGAACCACTATACTGTTTTCCATAGCAGCTGCACCATTTTAGATTCTCACCAACAGTGAACAAGGGTTCTGATTTCTCCACATCCTCGCCAACATTTTTATTTTCTGTTTTTTTTATAGTAGCCTTCCTAATGGGTGTGAGGTGGTATCTCACTGTAGTTTTGATTTGCATTTTCCTAACGATTAGTGATATTGAGCATCTTTTCATGCGCTTATTGGCAATTTTATATCTCCTTCATGATAAAAACACTCAACAAACTAGGAATAGAAGGAAACTACTTCAACACAATAAAAGCCATGTATGAAAAAACCACAGTGAAAGTCACACTCAATGGTGAAAGACTGAAAGTCTTTCCTCTCAGGTTGAAGAACAAGGCAAGGATGCCCACTTTCACTATTTCCATTCAATGTAGTACTGCAAATTCTAGCCAGAGCAAGGAAAAGAAATAACAGGCATCCAAACTGGAAAGAAAGAAGTAAAATTATCTCTGATTACAGCTGATATGATCTTATATGTAGAAAACCCTGAAGATTTCACCAAAAAAACCTGTTAGAACTAATAAATGAATTCAGCAAAGTAGCAAGATACAAAGTCAACACACAAAAATCAGTTGCATTTCTATACACTAACAATGAACCATCTGAAAAGGAAATTAAGAAAACAATTCCATTTACAGTAGCATCAAAAAGAATCAAATACTTAGGAATTAACTTAACCAAGAAGACGAAAGACTTGTACCATGAAAACTACAACACATTGCTGAAAGAAATTAAAGAAGACATAAATAAATGGAAACACATCTTGTGTTCATGGATTGAAAAACTTAATATTGTTAAAATATCAATACCCAAGTGATCTATAAAGTCAATGCAATCCCTATCAAAATCTCAATGATGTTTTTTGCAGAAATAGAAAAACCCATTCTATCATTCATATGGGATCTCAAGGGACCCCGAATAGCCAAAACAATCTTCAAAAAGAGGAACAAAGCTGGAGGACTCACACTTCCTGATTTCAAAACTTACTACAAAGCTACAGTAATCAAAACAGTGTAGTACTGCCATAAAGAGAGACATATAGACCGATGGAACAGAATAGAAAGCCCAGAAATAAACCCTCAAGTATATGGTGAAATGATTTTTGACAAGAGTACCAAGACCATTCAATGGGGAAAGGACAGTCTTCCCCATCTCAGTAAATGACGACCTCATTCTTCACACTGCTGAGGGCAACAACTGGCATAACCCTTGGCCTCTCTCTCTGCCTTACACGTCATAACAGATCCTTGGCAATGCTGTCAGGCTCTACCTTGGGAATAGATGCAGAATTTGGCCATTTCCCACTACCTCCACTGCTCCCACCAGACCCTAACCACCAGTATCTTTGCTTGGATTATTACCAAAGCCATGTCATTGGTCTCCCTGGTCCTGCTCTTGCCCATCTGTTAGATGGATTAACTAACCATAGTGTCTGCACATAGCTTGATGCCCGTTCTGTGTAGCAGAGGAAATGTTCTATTAGGATGGTGCTTGTTAGGATGGAATTCAGTTCAATGTCCTGTGGACACTGAATAAAGTCAACAAAACCTGCTGTGAGTAAGAAGTAAGAAGCATAAAATGGCGCCAAACAGCACCAAATCCAAGAAATCATCTGTGTTTACTGAAACATGCAAGATCATTGCCTTGAGAGACATAAGGAAGCAAGGTCAGGGCAGTAGGTAGTTTTATTCAAATAGTGACCATGTGAGTAATAAGACACGATTTATTATGAATCCTGTGGGACACTGATGTATCAGAAGTGAAGACGTTGTCATCATTGCCCTCTTGTTTCGCGAGCAGGTGAATAGTTTGACAAGTTTTGACAAACGTACACGCCCATGGAACCACCACTCAATCTAGGTCTAGAATATTTCCATCACCCCCAAAAATTCCCTTGCTCTCCTTTGCAGCCCCCACATTCCCCTTACAACACACACACCTCCTGCGCCAGTCCCGGCGACCACTGAAGCTGTTTTGTTTTGAATCTTTAAAATTGTGCTGTCTGCCTGTCACCGGTCCTAGTGTTCAGCTAACAGCTGCAGGGTGCTGGGTTAAGACCGTTGGCTCTGGAGGCAGATTGCCTTGTTCTGCTCAGCCATTGTCATGCTGGTGACCTTGCATCTCAGCCGCCTAATCCGTAAAATGGGGATAATAATTGCACCCACTTCACTGGGATTTTGTAAGGAATAGCTTAATTAAGTAGCTGGTACTTAATAACGCAATCAATATCAGTTATCATTACTACTGTTTATAGAGTGTACACTGCGTGATGGGCGTCGTGCTACGTGTTGGGTGTAGATGTGGCAGTTGCTACTGGTGCTCCCTCCACATCCCCGCCGGCACCCACCACTCTGCACATGCCGATAGCTTCTTGCTGCACCTGAGATGCTCTGCGTGAATGTGTTCTCCGGCTGCAGGAGCGTGCTCAGCCTGCACACGGGGCAGGCCGGAAGTGCTAGGGAGTTAAGATGGCCAGGAGTTGGAAGATAAACAGCCTGGCTTCCTTGCCTCCCAGGGGGACAACTCTGAGGCTTGATCTACACCATCAACCAGGGCCCCCCGTGAGCCCCAGCTTCCCACAGTGGTAACCTTCTCAACACACTCTGTATTGGCTTCCTTCTCTGTTTCACTTCCCCACTACCCTTCCAGAACTTCCTGGGATTCTCTATCAAGTGAACTGTTATCATTCTCATGCTCACCTCAGTGTCTGCTTCTAAGACAATGGGGTATTTCATATAATGCTCCAACAGTCCTATAAAATGGACAGATACAGCTTCTCCATTTTATAGTTGAGCAAAATGAGGCAGTGAAGAGGGTAAGTGCCCCAGTGACCTGCTTAAGGTCAAAGCCTCCACTGCCTCCCTGAGGAACGTGCCTTGACAGGCCCTGCCCCAGGACCTCTTTCCCCCTGCCACCCCCAGCTCCGCTGACCTTCCTGAGCATCTCCTCCCTGCAGGAGGGCCGCTGCCTGTTTGTCATCCTGCTCATGGCGGTGTACTGGTGCACGGAGGCCCTGCCCCTCTCGGTGACGTCCCTGCTGCCCATCATCCTCTTCCCCTTCTTGGGTATCCTGCCCTCCAGCAAGGTCTGCCCCCAGTACTTCTTGGACACCAACTTCCTCTTCCTCAGCGGTCTGATTATGGCCACGGCCATCGAGGAGTGGAACCTGCACCGGAGAATAGCCCTCAAGGTCCTGATGTTCGTTGGGGTCCAGCCGGCCAGGTAAGCCCAGGGAATGGGTCCAGCCTGAGGGCGGGGAGGCAGAGGGACCACATCTCTTGGAGCCTAAACTCACTCTTCCCTGTGTAATCGTCCAGACCAACAAACTCATCATGTCCTGCCCTCCATTTACTTACTCATTCCTCAGATATTTAGTGAGCCCCTGTGTGTGACAGACACAGTGCCAGGCTCTTGGGCAGCTCTCAAAAGTGCATCAGAATCACCTGGGAAGCCAGCTGAAATGCTTATCCCCAGGCCCCAGCCTCAGGATTGATGTCTGGTAGTTTTAGAGGGGGTCCTATTAGCAGTATGGATCCGACTTTTCCTGCTCTAGAAAATGACTTAACTTCTCTTTGCCTATAAAATGAGGATAAGATAGCTTAGACTTGTGCAATGCAGTAAATCCTGGCTGTTATCATCCTACTTTGCTATTTACCAGCCGTGGTGACGAGGTGGGTAGGGAGTGGATGGAAAGGTGACCTCAGAGAGACGGGGGCAGGGTCCATTCTTGCAGAGCCTCAGGCCCCCTGGCTAAGATTTGAACTTTTATTCTAAGAGGATTGAGTGACCTTTAAACTAGCAGCATTGTTGTTCTTTTAATTTTTTATTTTCAATTTGGTGAATCTTAAGGATCTCTTCTTAGAATAATGTTTTTAAATGTACGAAGCACACAACGCTTAGGATTTAAAACAACAATCACAACAATTACAGCAAAATGCAGTTATCCAAATAAATTTTTATTTTTATTTATTTATTTATTATTATTATTTTTTTGCTGAGGAAGAGTAGCCCTGAGCTAACATCTGTGCCAATCTTCTTCTATTTTATATGTGGGTCACCACCACAGCATGGCTGATGCATGGTGTAGGTCCGTACCCAGGATCTGAACCCACGAACCTGGGCCGCTGAAGCGGAGCACACTGAACTTAACCACTAGGGCATGGGGTGGGCCCCCCAAATAAATTTTTTAAAACACACAAATTTGTGATATGGTATCCTACATACTCCTTTACAGTAAATGATAAGATCTAGCAACCGGCATAAAAACAACTGTAGTTTTGAGGCGCTTTTGAGTGTCAGTGATATTCTAAGATGTCTGCAATATTATAAAGTGATATGAAGATATCTGTGGTTTTAATTGGTGACCAAGTCCCAGGCACTTCTAATACTACTGAACTTTGTTGCCTATGTTTATCCCTAAAGGAAATATTTAATTCTATTAGATGTTAGTAAAATAAAGATGCGTTTTTCTCCCTCATTTCTGTCCTGACTTATATCCATGCCCCCTTTGATTATGAATCTCTGCTTTACAGAGTTCTAAGCTGGGGAGTGACATGACCAGATCTGCATTTTTAAACAGTTCCTCTTGGCTGCCATGTGGAGAACAGATGAGGGGTGGGAAGCTGGATGTAGCCCAGTTAGGAGAATGTTCTGGGTGTCCAGACAAGAGATGGTGACAGCTTGGGCTAGGTGGCAGTGGAGATGGACAAAATGAATAGATTTGAGAACTCTTTGGTTGATAAAATCGATGGGGGATGGTGGTTAGGGAGAAGATTCTGGATAACGCCTAGGTTTCTAGCATTTGCTCTGTGCCAAGCACTCTGCTAGGCTCTGTAGCTGTGTTTCCTCCTGGAGGTACCGTCTCCTGCAGGAGAGATTCCATCTATAAAGCAGAATTTGATACCGAAGGGGCACATGTGGTGTGGCAGCCCACAGGAGAGGCAGGGTGACTTCTTCATGGAGGAGGTTACCTTTGACCTTGAAGAAGGGGTGGGGCTGCTATCAGACATAAAGTTACAACAATGAAAACAGTCAGTTTGACACTAGCTCAGAAATAGATCTTAAAAATGCAGTATAAATATTCTAGAAGAAATCTAACTCAGTGGAGAAGGGAAAGATTATTCAATAAGTGATGGGGGTTGGAATAATTGGTTTATTCTTTGGAAAAAAATCTAATTAGATCTGACTTCATACTGGGCATCTAAATAAATTCCAGGTGGGTTCAGAGGTCAGTGTAAAGAGGAAAAACCACGAAACTTAGATTCCCGTTGGCAGGAGGGACTGAGCCGTGGCAGGCAGACAGGAGGTCGCGCGTGTTTGGGTGCTGGTGGGAAGTTCATCGGACACTGAGCAGGGGTGCTAGTAGGAGTGGGAGGGCAAGTGGGAGAGGAGGCCGGGAAGGCCGTTTGGGGTGAGATGGTGGAGAGTCTTGGTGTCAAACCAAGGCAACTTTATTCTGCAATGGGAGCCATGAAGGATTGGAGGGCAAAGGAGAGGAGATTTCAGGGTTGGGAGATCTTTGGAGCTATTTTACCTTGAGTACCTGGTCAGTTCACTTAAACACATTGAGCCAGTTTTCTTAGATCTAAAATAAGCCTGGTGAGTGGATGTGGTCCCCACTTGGTCATTGGCTTGTCCTCTCCGGGCCTTAACTTTTCATCTAGAAAACGAGTGGGCTGGATTCCTCAAGGGTGGCAAACTGGGACCAGAAGACCTCCTGGGCCCCGGTTCTGGATCTGCCTCTGACTCCCTCTGCTCCTAGGCTCATCCTGGGAATGATGGTGACCACCTCCTTCCTGTCCATGTGGCTGAGCAACACTGCCTCCACCGCCATGATGCTGCCCATCGCCAGCGCCATCCTGAAGAGTCTCTTTGGCCACAGGGAGACTCGGAAGGACCTCAGCAGGGAGAGCGAAGAGAACGCAGGTGAGGCTGCGGAAAGGGACTGGGGGCCAAGCCCACCAGTGTGGGGGAGTGGGAGCGGGGATGTCCAAAGGGTGTCACGGAAGGTGAACGGAATGCACTTATTGAGCACCTACTGGGTGCCAAGTGTTCATAATAATAATAACTAGAATTAAAGTCACTCTGTGGTACTTGGTTTTCTTTAAAATTTGCATTTATTGAGCGCTTACTATGTACTAAGCAATGAGTTAAACATTTTGCATACGTTATCTCCTTTACCTCTCAAAACAGCCTTATGAAGTAGGTACAATAATTAATCCTTGTTTTAAAGCATTTGAAGAGATGCTTAAAATCACTAATACCCAGAGAAATGCAAACTGAAACAACAATGCGATTTACTTCAATGAGACTGGCAAAAATCAGAAAGCTGGGTAATGCCCAGAGTTGGCGGGAATGGGGGCCACAGGAACTCTTGTGCACTGCTAGAGAGAGTGTAGGCTGGGCCAGCCTTTCTTGAGGGCAGTCTGCAAATATTTAATCAATTTAAATGTGCATATACATGCAACCCAGCATTTTGCTCCTGATTGCAAATGCTAAAGGAATTCTGACACGGGTTCTTTTTTTGTGTGTGTGAGGAGATAAGCCCTGAGCTAACATCTGCCAATCCTCCTCTTTTTTTGCTGAGGAAGACTGGCCCTGGGCTAACATCCGTGCCCATCTTCCTCCACTTTATATGGGACGCTGCCACAGCATGGATTGACAAGTGGTGCGTCGGTGCGCGCCCGGGATCCGAACCAGCGAACCCCGGGGCCGCCACAGCGGAGTGTGTGCGCTTAACCGCTTGCACCACCGGGCCGGCCCCCTGACACAGGTTCTTGAGGGGACATGTGTACCGATGTTCACTGCAGCCTTCTCGGTGCTGTGGTGGGTTGGTAGCCGTGGGAATGCCTTCACTAGTAAAGGGGAAGGTAAAGTGTGGTGGGTGCACCGCTGAGCACCGTGCTGCTTTTAGGAGCAAAGAATTAGAGGAACATATAACTATATACGTGGATCTCATAAAACATAGTTGTGATTGGAAAAAAAAAAAAACAGAGAGAGATATAGAACACACTACCATTATGTAAATTAAAAATATACACAAATGACAAAACATTTTGCAAGAAAGTAAACAAAGGAAAAGCTACATTAAACACACGAGAATGGTTGCTCTGGGAAGGATAGAAGTGGGAAATGGGGATAAAAGGGAATAAATAAAGACAGACAGAAAACAAAAGGGGGGCCTGTGCAGCGAATAGTAATAGTGTGCCATGAACTGAGGGATTTGATTCACTCAGCCCTCTGCAATTGTGTTCTAAACAAAACAAAACACAAGTAGCCACCATGTTTTTAGATGACTAAACGGGCACTCAGAGAGGGGAAGTGACTTCCCCAAGTCACACAGCAAGCAAATGGCTGAGCCCACTGTGCACCTCAGCAGTCTGGCTCCAGACCACTCTCTTGCCTGTGAAATCAGCTGCAGCAGTGAGAATTCTTTTGGCTGCAAGTAAAAGAATGCCTGTCTACAAGTGGCTTAAAGTATGGCAGTTTATTTTCCTCAAATATCAAGAAGTCAGTGAAAGGCAGTTTTAGGATCAATTCAGAGGCACAAAGATGTCAGGATTGTTCATTGGCATCTCTGTGATTCCCTTTGTCTTTCCCTCGTGGTTACAAAGTGGCTGCCACATCCTGTCTGCTTTAAAACATCCTGCTTTTTATTTACATAAAGGTATTTTAAAAGGAAGCTTTAAATTGGTATACATGTGGGAAGAGATTACTAGTTTATCCCCAGTATCAATTCTTCCTTTGTTCTTTTAGTAATGGAACCCCCACATGGGCACACAGCTGTGCAGAGAAAAGGCTGAATTTCCCAGCTTCCCTTGCAGTTAGATGTGGTCATGTGACTAAGTTTAGCCAATGGGATATGAGTGGGAATGGTGTGTGCAACTCCTGGGTCCTGCCCTTCCTTCTCTACTCCTGCTGGCTGGAATATGAATATGATAATGGGGAAAAGAGATGCTACCTAGGACCCAAAGATGGAAGCTGCATGTTGAGAGACTGATGGCAGATCTGCCCCAGTAGCTTTGGACCATTTACCCCAACTAACAACAAATATTATCCATGAAACCCTGGATTTTGTGTGCTAGTTGTATTTTTTGAATATACATTAAAATAAATATATAGTCTGTTAAAAATCTAAATATTGATCCATGCACCATCTGAGTTAATGTCATTTACTGTGGTATGGGTACTTCCCCACCATGCAATAAGGGATCTTGCTTATTTATTTCCACGACAGCCCTGAGAGCTAGAAATATTCTAAGTACTTTACAGAGGAGGTTCAGAGAGGTGAGGTGATATGTCCACAGTCAATCACATTGGTTGTCAAGTAGCAGAGCCAGGATCCAAGCAAGGTCAAAGTCTTCCACATGGAAGGGAAGAGATGCTCGAGAGCAGGGGTCAGCAGACTTTTTCTGTAAATGACCAGATAGTAAACATTTTAGGCTTTGCTAGCCGCTCTGTCTGTCACAACGAATCAACTCTGCCCTTGCAGAGAGAAAGCATTCATGGACAGTATGTAAATGAGTGAGGGTGGCTGTGTTCCAGTGAAATTTTATTTACGGGTGCTGAAGTTAAAATTGTATATAATTTCTACATCACAAAATATTATTCTTCTACTGATTTTTTTCAGCTATTTGAAAATGTTAAAACCATTCTTAGCTGGCAGGCAGTGGGCCGGATTCAGCCCATGGGCTGTAGTTTGCAGATCCCTGCTCTGTAGTATAGGCTTCACTGGTTTTCAGACTGTTTCCCCTGAGTCTCCAGGAGAACCGCCTCATGGTCGCCTCGAGGGGCAGCAAGCAGCTCCGACTCTGCTGCCTCTCGCCTTTCAACCGCAGCTGCCCCCACTGCATCTGTTCTGTACACCAAGCTTCCGAGGAACCAGCACAGATTTTTATTGAGCACTTATTTTGTGCAAGGACTCTTCTTAGGACTTACTTCTGAATGAGGTGGAGCCAGCACTGACCTCGTTTAGAGGAATGGAAATTGAGGAAGAAATTTAGAAAGAGGATAAAGTAGCCCCCAAGGTCACATGGTTTCAAAACTGTGGCACTGGTATTTTGAATCCAGGCTGGCTGACTTCAGGGCCTGTACTCTTAACCTCTGTTATTCTGCCTCCCACACAAGATTTTTTTTTCAAGGAGTCTAGTAGCCAAAAAAAAAAAAAAAAAAAGTTTGGAAGCCAATTCCCTCATTATAAAGGGACGTGTCCAAGGTTGCACACAGTGTTGGGCGCACGGCGAAATCCAGAATCTTTTCTCTTATGCTGCAGGATGTCAGGAGGTAGGAGACCCTGGAGGCTGGGGCAGACATGACTTTTACAGGCGGTGGGATCAGAGAGCAGAGACTAGTTAATGATCAGCCCTAAGACCTAAAACTAGGCTCATTCCAGTGCAAAGAGAGATGTTCCCTTTCAGCCAGAGTCTGTGCTCTGTTCTGGTGGCAGGAGGTGAGGGCAGGGGTGGAGGGAGTGGAGACCCTTTAGTGAGCCAGGACAGGGGCCAGGAGGCTTCCGGGGGCTTTAAGTCCGTGAGGGACCCCCACGGCAACAACAGCAATGGTAATGTGAGCTGTCATTTTCTAAAGACCCACCATATGCCAGACGCTGTGCTACATTTTTCATACCCGTTAGCTCATTTAATCTTCATAACAATACTATGAGGTAGATGATCCCCATTTGACAGATGAAGAGACTGAGGTTCAGAGAGGCAAAATGATTTGCCCAAAGTAACATGGTGAGTTAGTTGCTAAGCTCTGTCTGAATCTGGAATCTGTGCTTATAAGCAGCATGCCAGAGCAAGACAGATCCTGGGGCGGGGTGGAGCTCACTGGACAAGACCCCGGGGGGTCCTCAGCCTTAGAGGGCAGCCCTGCTGCTTCTCTTTAGTTTCTTTACAAAGCTCTGCTTCTTGCACTGCCTGAGGGGCTGAGGGGCCATGAGGTGGTGGCTTCCCCAGCATCCTTCCATGTGTGTGTTCACATTAGATGATCCACTACAGCCCTGCTGGCGTGGCCCTGTTGTCATGCCCATTTTCCAGAGGAGGAAACTGATGCTCAGAGAGGTGAAGTAGTTGCCCAGTGCCCCTCAGCTGGTAAATGGCCCATCTGGCTTTTGAATCTGCACTCTACCCCTCTCTCCTCTTTCCCCTCTTTTTCTCTGTCCAAACAAGGCTAGCCTGCCACCCACCTCTTTCCTTTAGGAATGCCCAAGATGCCATCCTTCAAAACACAATCTTTCAGGCTGGGTTAAGCATTGCCCTCCTCCTTCACTCTTCATTCATGAGGCCAGGAGGGGGGCCTCCTTTCGAGGCTCTTTTCTCCTCTATAAAATAAGGACAAAGCCTCCCATTTGCTGTGTATCGTTGTGAGGCTTACGAGAGAAATGAGAGCCTGGCGCATAGGAAGCGGCTAATATGTGGCAGCTGACTGTCCCTGGGGTGTTTTTTACCTAATTTGATACAAGAACTCCTTCCTGGGGGCTTTCTGTGTGCGAAACTTCAGGAACATTTTGTCATACTGGGGAGGTTAGACTGGATTTAGCAGCTCCGGCTCAGACCTACTAAGAGCCGCCGGGCGGGGGAGCCTTGGGAGATGGAGTGGGACTCACGGGTGGAGAATCAACAGTCCTGGGAACAAGCCTGACTCTGCTGCTGACCCATTGGGTCATCTCGATCGCGGTCATAACCTGCCTCTGGGCCTCAGTTTCCCCGGGTGTAAAGAGGAAGTGTCTCTCAGGCTGTTCTGAGGCTGCTGTAAGATTACAAATGTGCAAGTCCTCAGTCCCCGGCCTGGTACAGGCTCAGAGAGTGGCATTATTTGAATAAGACCTTACTTAAGCACCAAGCTCCCAACTAGCTAGTGATTTCTGGACCCAGAAAAGTCAGAAGCTTTGGAGACTTTGCCACAGTGGCCTTTGTGTGGCCACTGGGGTCACTGTGGTCACAGGAAGCACGGGGATGGACGCTGGGTAAGTGGTTAAGAACATTCGGCACCTTGGTTTTCCTATTTATTTCAACTTCGTTTTCATTGGCTTTATTACCGTCATCATCATCAGGAAAATAACGCTAGGTATAAAATGTTTTCACATGACTAATCTGGTGAAGAAACAGTGGAACTCCCTCCTTCCCGATCTTACGTGCTACAGGTAATTACCGTGTACAGCGGTGTGTATGATGTCCTCCTCTGCTTTGTGCATGGCACGTAAGTCTTATATTGGGGCCCTCCAGCTCAGACGGTGGCAGCAACGAGGTTCCATGGATGAGTGACGGGGGCCAGGTGGGGACTGTGGCAAACTGCTCAGCACACGACCTTCTCCTGGTTCTGGAGGCTAGGAAGTCCAAGATCAAGGCGCTGGCAGATTCCGCACCTGGTGAGGGCCAGTTTCCTGGTTCACAGACGGCTATCTTGTCGCTGTGTCCTCACACGGTGGAAGGGGCAGGGGAGCTCTCTGGGGTGTCTTTGATAAGGGCACTAATCCCATTCATCAGAGCTCCGCCCTTATGACCTAATCACCTCCCAAAGCCCCCACCTCCTAATTCCATCACATCGGGGATTAGATTTCAACTATGAATTTTGGGGACAAAAACGTTCAGTCTATAGCAAATGGGTCAACTCCTTAATCCTCTTGACAACCCTAGGGGAATTATTATTTCTCTTCTATGAATTAAAGAACTGAGGCACAGGGAGATTAAGGGATTTATCTAAATCAGAGTTTCTCAACTTCAGCACTCTTGACATTTTGGGTGGGATAATTCTTTGTTGTCAGGGGCTGACTTTTGTATTGTAGGATATTTAGCAGCATCCTTGGCCTCTACCCACTAGATGCCAACAACATCCCCCTCACCCCAGTTGTGACAACCAAAAATGTCTCCAGACATGGTCCAATGTCCCTTGGAGGCAGAATCGGCCCCCTTTGGGAACCACTGATCTAAGGTCACGGAGTAAGAGATGGAGCTATGATTCGAACCCAGAACCCATGTGTTTAGCTACTAATCACAAGCCCAATGCCCAGGGATGGATTCTTTTGCCCTTGGTGATGGTTTCAGCTGCAGGAACTTTTAATCCTTTCAATCTTTCTTGTCTCCAAAACACTATTGCAGGCTCCTGGGGAGACTGACCTATCAAGCAAGGGATACTTTTCTTTTTCTGGTGAGGAAGATCAGCCCTGAGCTAACATGCAATACCAATCCTCCTCTTTTTGCTGAGGAAGACTGGCCCTGGGCTAACATCTGTGCCCATCTTCCTCTACTTTATACGTGGGATGCCTGCCACAGCGTAGCTTGATGAGTGGTGCGTAGGTCCACACCCGGGATCTGAACCTGTGAACCCCAGGCCACCAAAGCACAGCACGCGCACTTAACCACCACCAGGCCACCCTGCAAGAGATGCTTTTAAAATGAAGTGAGAGCTTGTCCTGACTCTCCTCTGCTCAGACACTCCCCTGGCTCTGCTCGCATCTGACTCAGAGGAGAAACCAAAGTCCTTACTGTGACCCCAAGACCCCTGCATGATTCAACCCACCCCCTGCCACTTCTCTTACCTTACCTCTTGCTACTCTCCCCCAGCCCCATGCCCCTCTGGCCCCACTAGTCTCCCTTCTGCTCCTGACACGCCAGACACACTCTCACCTCAGGGCCTTTGCACTTGCTATTCCTGCTGCCCTGAACCCTCTTCTCACAGCTCTTCCTGTGATTGGCTCCTTTTTACCCCTGAGGTCTCAGATCAAATGCCATCAGCTCTTATGTCTTCTCTGTTGACCTGATCACAGTAGGCCACCTGCGCCCCTCCCCGCTCTGCAATCACTTTCCATCACACTGCCCAGTTTTATTTCCTCCATCTGTTTCATCACTACCTGAAATTTCCTTTTTTCGATTATTGTCTGTCTCCCCTTCTAGAATATAACTTTCATGGGAGCAGGGACTTTTTTGTATTATTCGCTGTGTAGCCCACACTCATAGTCAATAGCACGTAGAATATGCCCAATAAATACTTTCTGAATGAATGAATGAATGGAAGATTGGGGTCACCCCTCCCATTGCTGATCCATTACCACTCATAGCTAGGCTTTCCCAAACATCCCTTTGACAAGGGCAGCTCAGGTAAGCCTAGGCTGGAGTTGTGAGTTGTCAAGCAACCTTGCAGCTGGCTCCCTGCCCACAGGCCTGGGGCCATCTCCAAATATGGATGAGCGGGACAGGAGGATGGGATTTTGACTGCCTCTCTTTTTAATTCAATGGATGGTGTAGGAAGGGAACCTGAAGACGCCCTCTTGATTGACTGCACAGGGATAGGAGCCCTCCTGTCCCATTCGTTCCGTTACACTAAAGACATCATGCTCTCTCCTCCCAGCTGCTGTGCGGAGAAACGGCCTGCCCACTGTGCCCACGGAGATGCAATTTCTTGCCAGCACAGAAGAGTGAGTTCCTGGTGAAATTCATAGAGGAGCCAGTGCTTGATCCAAGGAGATGATGGACAAGAATTCAATGCTGCAAGCAACCCCTCCCGTCCCAGGGTTTTCTCCTAGTGACCTAATGTTCAAGTGTCCACCCTTCATCCCTTTGGCTTAGGCAGACCTCCACAGCCTCCTTAAGGAAATGCAAACGTGGACAGGGCAGGGGAGCACGTTAGACCCCTGGAGTTCTGGTGAGGTGGGGGGTCTGGAAGGAGGGGCCAGAAGAGCAGGAGAGCGCAAACCACGCTGCAGTCAAGGAGGACATGCGTGCAGACAGGGTCAGGAGGCTCTAAGCACAAAAGCATCCTGTGAGACCGTCACAATCCTTCACACTTCTGTGACTTAGGAAGCACCTTCACATCGACGGCACATTCAGTCTTCAGTGTCCTTTGCATATGGCAGCGTGGTTAAGATTTTGAGGTTTGGAGCCACACAGACCTGACTTTGAACCCTGGCTCTGCCGCTTACTGGCTGTATGATTTGGGCAAGTCACTTAACCTCTCTGAGCCTCAGTTTCAGCTACCAACTGGATATGATATTGGAAGCCACCGTACAGGGTTGTTTTGAGATTAAATGAGATAATGTCGGGAAAGCAGGTTGCTGGGCCTTACCTGCACAGGTGGTAGCGCTTGTTGTTAATGTCATCATTATCTCAATCTAATGGCGATGAAACAGCGGGAAGTAAAGTGACTTGCTCAAGGCGTTGCTGGGCATTGATCAGGTCTGTTTCATTCATTCAACAAACATTTATAGAGAGCTTACGATGATCCAGGCACTGCTAGAGATACAGCAATGAACAGACAAAAACCCAGCCCTGTAAACCTTACATCCCAGGGACAAGAAACAAATACACGAGTAAACTTCATATGATTCAGATGGTTGGTGAGTGCTGTGCAGAAGAAAAGCAGGAAAGAGGGCTAGGGAGGGGGGCTGGGGGTGGGAAAGGGCAGTTTTAAAATGGGTGGTCGGGGAAGACCTCTCTAAGGAGGTCATGCTTCAGCAAACACCTGTAGGAGATGGGAGGCCATGGGGGCTCTGTGGGAAGAGCATTCTCAGCAAAGGGACCAGCAGGTGCAAAGGTCCTGAGAATCCAAAGCAGATAGGAAGCCAGTGTGGCTGGAGCTGGGTGCATGGATGGTGGAAGGTGGTGGCAGAGAGATTGCTAGGTGGCGAGAGGGTGGTGGTGGAGGGCCCCAGCATGTGGGAAGTCATAGGCCAATGACGCAGCCTTGACTTTGAATGAGCTGAGAGCTGATGGAGGGGTTAGCAGAGGCAGGATGTGATCTTATGTCTGACTGTCTCACCCCATGGCCTGTGCTCCTTCCTGGCACCATATTTGGGGGCTTTGAGTCCAGCTTTGAGATATGGGTTCTGTCATTGGTCCAGCCACTCACTACCATGCAGCCTGGACATGTATTTTGACCATCTGCCCATGCAGAGCTTGTGTTGAGTCTGTTGGAAAGGAGCCGATCCCCACCCTCTGGAACTCCATGTCCACTGGCTGCAAACCCCATCCCCTCTCTGGGCCTCAGTTTCCCATCTGAACAAGGAAGGGGTTGCACTACACGAGCGCTAGGGCCCTTTCTGCTCCTCATTCTCATTGTGAGGCTCAGTCTGGTTGGGTCCCCAGGTCTGAGGGAGGCCACAGTTCCTGACCAGGCCTCTCGCCCTGGAAGTCAGGCCGTGACATCGGTCTCCAGCTGCCTCCAGTCCTTGTCTTCCTTTCAGACCCCAGATCATGTCTTCGTTGCCATCTGGAGAAGGGGCCTCTCATGTAGTAATTAAAGCCAGAAGGTATTTAAAGTATCTTTCATTCTTTAAAAAAAATTAATTTGTTACACAGGAGCAATTCTTTTTTTTTTTTATTATTTTATTGAGGTCATAATAGTTTATAACATTGTGAAATTTCAGGTGTACATTATTAATTGTCAGTCACCATATATATGTGCCCCTTTACCCCTTATGCCCACCCCCCAACCCTCTTCCCCTCCGGCAACCATCAATCTGCTCTCTTAGTCCATATGTTTATCTTCCACATATGAGTGAAATCATGTGGTGTTTGTCTTTCTCTGTCTGGCTTATTTCGCTTAACGTAATACCCTCAAGGTCCATCCATGTTGTTGCAAGTGGGATGATTTTGTCTTTTTTATGGCTGAGTAGTATTCCCTTGTATATCTGTACCACACCTTCTTTATCCATTCATCTGTTAATGGGCACTTGGGTTGCTTTCACGTCTTGGCTATTGTGAATAATGCTGCAATGAACATAGAGGTGCATAAATCTCTTTCAATTGTTGATTTCAAGTTCTTTGGATAAATACCCAGTAGTGGGATAGTTGGGTTGTATGGTATTTCTATTTTTAATTTTTTGAGAAATCTCACAGGAGCGATTCTTAATTTTATTCACTTATAAACATTTCATAATTGCACAAGTCAATAAAATACTCTTAAAAAGAAAAATGTACTCCACATCTCATTCCCAGAGATAGATTAAAACAGTTAAGTGAATATCATTCTAGATTATTTCTTGATATTCTCTATACACATAAATGCATATGTTAAATTTAAAAAGTTGATAATGTTATATATGTTTTTTGTAAGCTGCTTTCTCATTTAATGGAGTGTAGTGAACATCTTTTCACCTCAATAAATTTGTGTCGACGTTATTCCTCTTTTAATTATATAATTAACAATTCTTAACTTAATTCTTTCCCAAACTCTATACAAGGAAAACAAGCCAGAAAATACACATAAAGAGTAAAAGAGAAAAAAAAATCTCACGCCATCCCTGAGAAAGGCACCAAAACACCTCTGCTTATACCATTCTAGACTTTTCTTAATATTAATATATTCATGAAATATGTGAATATTTTTAAAATAAAAAAATGAAATAGTGCTGTTACCTACCTTTTCACTTTATATGACGGACATCTTTCATTTTAATAAACACCCATCAAAATCATCATTTTTTAATAGCTGCCTTGGTGTTCCATCCAGAAAGAGGGTCATCTTTATTTAGCTAATGCCTTCTTTTTGTTTTTTATTTTTTATTTATTTATTTTTTTGTGTGTGTGAGGAAGATCAGCCCTGAGCTAACATCCATGCTAATCCCCCTCTTTTTGCTTAGGAAGACCGGCTCTGAGCTAACATCTATTGCCAATCCTCCTCCTTTTCTTCCCCAAAGCCCCAGTAGATACTTGTATGTCATAGCTGCACATCCTTCTAATTGCTGTATGTGGGACGCGGCCTCAGCACGGCCGGAGAAGCAGTGCCTCGGTGCGTGCCCGGGATCCGAACCCGGGCCGCCAGCAGTGGAGCGCGCACACTTAACCGCTAAGCCACGGGGCCGGCCCAGCTAATGCCTTCTTGATGGAGATTTAGGTTGTTTTCAATTTAAATTATATTTAATACCATAGTGAAGTCTCTTGAACCCACATCTGAGGCACCTGCCCAGTTATTTGTTTAGGATAAATTCTTAGAGCAGAACAGTTGAGATGAAGGTTGCACATTTTTAGGGTTTTTGATGCCCGTGCCAAATTACCTTCTAGAAAAACCACTTAGCTCTCCCGCCTCAGCCATTGTTTCCCCGTGAGGCCAGGAATTCTGAGTGTGTTCTGAATGGCTTCTCTTGGGGTTTGTTTAAAGCAAAGACTGCCCTGAGGAGGCGGAGGCTCCACTGGATCTTCTGGCGGACTCCAAGAAGGAGGAGGACTATCGCAGAAACATCTGGAAGGGCTTCCTCATCTCCATCCCCTACTCCGCCAGCATCGGAGGCACTGCCACCCTCACGGGCACGGCCCCCAACCTCATCCTGCTTGGGCAGCTCAAGAGGTAAAAGCAAGTGTCCCCCACCTGGCTGTGGAGTCTCAGCTGCCCCCCTCTCTTCCTTCACTCGACATTCAGGGAATGAGCATCGAATGCCTGCTGTCAGCCAGGCTCTGGGGACACAGCGATGCACAAAACCCAGCAACGTTCCTGCCCTGGGGGACTTCCGTTCTGGTGGAGAGACAAGCAATAAAGGGAAAAGCAAACGAATATGTAGTATGCCAGTATGATAAGTTATGAAATAAAATAAAGCAGGATAAGGGGGTGGAAGGACAGGAGTGGGTGCTAGTTCATGCAGGTAGGTCCGGAATGTGTGACCTCACTAATAAGGTGATATTTGAGCAGAGACCGAGAAGTGAGGGAGTGAGCTATGTGGGCACAGGAGGAGAGAGCATTCTGGGAACAGCACAAAGACCAGAGAGGCTGGAGTGCGGAAGGCGAAGGCGAGTGTGGGAGGGGATAAGGTAACAAGAGACCGGACTAAGGCAGCCGTTGTAAGGACCCCAGCTTTTCCTTCAAGTGAGATGGGGAGTCAGTGGAGAGCCGAGAGCAGAGAAGTGACACGATGTGACATCTGCTTTAAAAACTAATGCCACCTGGAGGTGTTCATCTGCGGCTGTAAGGCGCCGTGAGAGGCTTTGCAAACGTGCACGGCCGGCCAGCAGTGGAGTGGGCCCTGCGAGAGGTCAAGTCTCGCCATCACCGAAACTATTCAAACAGAAGCTGGGAGGCTTCCATCAGGACGTGAGAAGAGGAGAAGGGTTCTCGGGCAGCACGACTTGTCAATTCCATTACTAAACCTCTCAGTTAGAAGATTGTAAAAATCCCAGTATATCAAGATCCTGTGTCTAAGATTTTCAGGTTCCGGAATTCTGAGAGGCAAGGTTTCTAAGATTCTGTGGCAGTGGAAATGCAGCATACGTTCGTTTAATCTATACGAATGCAAATGTCAACATTTGGCAAACAAGCAACACAAAAAATATTTGATAATCAACATGGCCCCAAATGCTGGTGAACTTCTTTACCTGGTGCTCAACCAAAGAATCCAGGACCTATTAGGAGGATGGAGGTTTGGTGCTGGTTTTCCTGAGCCAGTGTTTGGGGTACATAAATCAGAACTATACTTGTGGGCAAAGTTCCTTTCATGAGAAACTTTAAGTTACACCCATGGTTTGCCTCATGAGCCAATTTTAAAACCTTAGCCCTCCACTATATTCTTAGGTTCTAAAATCCTTTGATTTTAAGCTTTGATGATAGAAACCAGTGGTTCTCAGCCGTGGGTGCACGTTAGAGTCACCAGAGAAGGTGAACAAAATATGCCCAGGTCTCAGTTGTAGAAATTCTGGTTCGGGAGGTATGGATAGGGGCCAGGCATCAGTATTTTTCCTGCTGGTCTAAGCCCACTGCAAACCTTTGGTGTCTTTTCATCTCCATTTTCTGAGCAAGGCCTGGCCATGCTTCGTGATTTTTGGTTAGCAACTAAAAACCAGAAGCCAAGACGGTCCTGCTTCAGATGTGGGGACAATCTGGGCAGACAATCTTTAGTCTCCTCAGTTAGAATGAAGTGTGAGCAAAGGGGCAGTCTGTTGGGAGCATGAAGCAGGGTGTTCGGTGTCAGGTCTTGCTGGAGCACATCCCCAGGGTTGGACAGGAAAGACGTGGGCTCTGGGGCCCCAGGGGCAGGTCCTGAGTTGGGGGATGTGGATAATGGGAGAGGGGCGGGTGCTATCTCTTTCAGGCTGCCTGCCCACCCTGACATGAGCAGGACTTTGTTCCAACTTGAAAAGAAATTAGGGAAAAAATACTGGAGCTGCAAGTAAAAATATCAAACATGAAAGATTTCGAGTAAATTGCATGCAAATTACATGCAAATCACATGCAACATTTAATTGCACAAGCTTGCACATTCTGGTCTGGAAGGAGGGGATTTAAAAGGAATGCCAAATAATATGGGGTCCTGATTCTCCAGCTGGGAGCCTGGGGACACAGGGAAACGGCTGCCCTGAGTGTTCTCCTGGGCCTTGGCTCCCAAAATACATTTTATTAGTTTATTCTGATTAGACATGAAATAGGCACATTATAGAACACTCAGAACATATAGAAACAAATTAAAAATTTGAAATACCTTCAATGCTACTGTTAATATTTCACGTATTTCTTCTAGTTTTCTATGTACACACACACACACACACACACACACACACACACTGGCTTGGCTGACCTCGGCTTGCTCTCACCTCCCTCTTTTTCTCCAGTTTCTTCCCGCAGTGTGACGTGGTGAATTTCGGCTCCTGGTTCATCTTTGCCTTCCCTCTCATGCTGCTGTTCCTGTTGGTGGGCTGGCTCTGGATCTCCTTCCTGTATGGGGGACTGACCCTGAGGTACCCCTCATGTTTAACTTGAGCTTTGAGTCAGACTGAGCTGTGTTGGAGTCCCAGCTTCCTTCTCTCCAGAGGGTGGCCTTCCTAAGTCTCGGTTTCCTCCTACATAAATAGGATCGTCGTCATAATTTCATGTCATCTTCTCATGTGGTGATCATGGTAGACCTCATCCCCCGGGCGATGTGAGGATACGGGTGGTGTGTGACCTGCCTGCCACGCCCAGGCCCTCAGTCAGTGTCATCCATCATCAATAATTACTAATAGTATTGTTCTTTAAGTAAAGTAAACACTCATTCCAGAGGGGAGGGAAGTGCGGTGTTTCCCATTTTACTGGGCCCTGATACAGGAGATAATTTGGGGTGGTGTGAGGATGAGGTATAAAACAACATTGAATCATACAGTGAGAAAAATATTCCTTTTTCAGCTCTTGCAGTAATCAACCTGCTTATGTTGGGGAGAAAGTCTTAGTAGGGTGGTGGAGAAACTTGAACGCCTCTCTAACATCATGTATTTATTTTTATGGTTATTTTCTATTTATGACAAGCGATTCTTGTTTTACATTTACGGGAGTGATATAAAGTTTTCTATTTAAATACATTTCTTGATTTAAAATGGTGAGTCTATTTGGAGGAAAGTATTAAGCAAATTGAGCCACATGATATGTGGATATAGGAAGATTTGTGACGGTGGGCTATGAATGCCTGGAATTTGGGAAATACTGAAATAGGAGCCGCAGCTCAGGGTTGGGGGTGGCGGGCATGTCATAAAGTCATTCTCTGACCCAGTCCGCTCACCTCCCTGGGTTTTAATTTGCTCATCTGTAAAATGGGACCAGTAGAAGATACTCCGGATCAAAGAGATGTGAGAACGCTTTGAGAACAGAAAGGCTCTGATGGTGGTGTTCCTTGACTCAGATGCCTTCCAGGACTCCTCAGAGCGACTCTTGGGGTTCAAAGCCCATCTTGGCCCAGAGAAGCAAGCCCAGATTTTGGACTCAGATAGACCAGAGTTCAAATCGTGGTTTGAACTCTGCGATCTTGAGCAACTCTGTAACCTCCCTGAGCTTTTCATTTCTTCACTTGTAGATTGGGAATAAAAATGAGCTACCGCTAAAGACCAAATGAGGGAGAATGTGTAGACTGCCCAGTACTGAGCCGGAACTAGAGCCTGTTTTCCTGTCTACATGTTTCAGGACTTGGCCTCAAAGGAGGCTGTGATAGAGGACATGCAGGAGGAGGGAAGCCCAGGGAGAGAGTGTTTCTGGATAGATAACAGAAAAGTTTCAGGCCAATCCTGGGACCCCATCTTCACTTGGAAAATATCCGCTGAGCACCCACTGTGTGCCTGATGCTGTTATAGGTGTTGAGGATGCAGCAGGTGGGCAAGGCAGAGAATGCCCTGACCGTGGGGAGCTTGCACTCTAGGTGGCAGAGACAAACAATGAACAGCTAAACACAGCAGGAATAGCGATTGTGGTGAGTGCTGTGAAGGATAGGAACAGTGAGCTATGAGGGTGTGCACTAGACAGCTCTTACCTACGTGGGAGGTCAGGAGAGCTTCCTTGGGCAACTGACTTTTGAACTGAGATATGAAGAATGAGTAGACTTAACTCAGTAAAGGGAAGGAAAGAGATGGAGATGAAAAAGAGCATTCCAGGCAGATAGAACAGCGAGTGCAAAGTTCCTGAGGCCGGAGGTAGCAAGAGATGTTCTGGAACTGAATAAAGGTTAAAATAACTGAGTTAAGGGTGTGCGGGAAATTGTGGGAGATGAGGCCAGGGAAGGAGGCAGGGGTTTTCGTATGATTTTGCCCACCCCTCCACCAGGGGACATTTGGCAATGTCTCGGACATTTTGATTGTCACAACTGAGGAAGTATTACTTGGCACGTAGGGGGTAGTGGCCAGGGATGCTGCTAAATTCTACAATGCAGAGGACAGCCCCCTACCACAAAGAATGACCCTGCCCCACTATGTTAATAGTTCCAAGGTTGAGAAACCCTGGGCTAGGTCATTGAGGGCCTTGTGAGAGTTTGATCTCACTCAAAGAGCCATTGTGGGGTTTTAAAAAATATGTATATATTTATTTTTTAGTTTGATTTGGATAAGCTGCACATATACGTGGTTCAAAAATCCTAACAATACAAAGAGGTATGCAGTGAGAATTCACAATCATGCCTTCATTTACTTGTTGGCCCAATATATCTCCCCAAACAGGTCCCACACTTACTGGCTTCGTGGGTAACCATCCAGAGTTTCCTTAAGCAAAAACAAGCAGATACAATATATTTTCTGGTGGCTGGTCTCCATGACAGATACCATTTTTGTATATTAAGAGGTATTTTTGTAAGATAAATTTCCATCGGAGAGATTTCTGGGTCAGAGAATAAACACATTTTTATTTTAATAGATATTGTCAAGTTGTTCTCCATAGGAACTGTTGTAATTTGTTCTCCCATTTACAACGTATGGGAGTGTCTGTTTCCATGCAGCAAAGTGGATTTTTGCCAATCTGATAAGAGAAAAGTAGTTTGCATTTATTTTATTGAGTAATTTTGAGCAACTTTTCATATTGAGGGGCAATATGAAAAGTTTTCATATATTCGTGGGAGCCGTTGGTATTTTCTTTCCTGTGAATTGTTCAACTGTGTGTTCATATTGTTTGTGTATTTTTCAAATAGATTGTTGGTCTTGGTCTTATTGATTTCTAATACTCTTTATATATTGAAAGATTAGTGTTTATTCTGCAACATGAGTTGCAAATATTTTTCCTGATTTGTTTTTTACTTTGCATATGGTGCTTTCTTCCAGGCAGAATATTTTAGAAATTTTTTATGTAGATGAATTTATCAATCTTTTCTCATGTGACTTCTAAATTTTCAATTTCAGTTAGAAAGATTTTTCCATTACAGGAGTTATAAAAGAATAATCCCATGTTTTCTTCTAGTATTTTTTACATTTAAATCTTTGATCTATTTGGAGTTTATCCTTAGGGTGCAGTGTGAGATTTGGATCCAACTTCATTTTTTGTTTCAAATGGTCATGCAGTTGTCCAAACACTATTTATTGACACACAAAAGAAGTTTTAAATTTTGAAGAAGTCCAATTTATCTATTTTTGTTTGCTTGAGCTTTTGGTGTTATATCTAAGAAATAGTTGCCTAATCCAAGGCCATGAAAATTTATCACTATGTTTTCTTCTAAGAATTTTATAGGTCCAGCTCTTATATTTAAGTCTTGGATCCATTTTGAGTTACATTTTGTATATGGTATGAGGTAGGGGTCCACATTCATTCTTTTCCACGTGGCCAGCACCATTTGTTGAAAGACTATTCTTTCCGCATTGAATGGTCTTGGTACCCTTGTCCAAAATCAATTGACCATAAAAGCTTGAGTTTATTTTAGACTCTCAGTTCTATTCCATTGATCTATATATCCAACACCATTGACTGAATAGCTCATCTTTTCTACACCGATATGAGATACCAACTTTATCACAGACAAAATCTCTGTTTATGGTTGGGTCTATTTCTGGACTTTCTATTTTGTTCCATTGATTTGTCTGTTCATTCATGTGCCTGTTTGACCCCTTAAAGGATTTTAATCCTGGGAGTCATATGATCAGATTCGCATTTTTAAATGACCATCCAGGCTATGGGTGGGGAGAACGGATTTTAGAAAGGGAAGACAGAGGCAGGGAGCCCACTCAGCAGGCTGTTACAGGGATAATGAGGGCTGGCCAGGTGGCGGTAGGGTAGGTGAGCAGTTAGCTGTTCCTGCCATGGCCACTCCTAACCTCCCCACTTTCTGTTTCAGGGCCTGGAGGAAGAAGAAATCTGAGATCAGCACTGACGCAGAAGACAGGGCTCATGCTGTGATTCGGGAGGAATTCCAGAACCTGGGGCCCACCAAGTGCGTGGCCCGGGGTCCTCGGGGTGGGGAGAGAGCCGGGCACTAGACTTTCAAGAGAGGTACCTCCTGGCCTGACCCCTGGGTCCCCAGGGGTCGAGTCCCTGGGAAATTTCAGGGCCAATGGCCTGGGAGCCTAGAGGTAGAGGGTAGGGAGGTAGCTTACACAGTCAGCCTCTTACCCTGGTGCTGGAGTAGATACCCTGAGGACCAGAAAGCCCCTTAGGGTGTACTTGGGGTGGGGACCTGCCCCCTTCCTGCCTAATGCACCCTTTCCCTCCTGGTACACGGGATACCCGACACTGCCTTGGGCGGCTTCCAGGACCTTGTTTGATGCATATTTCTCATGTGGTGAAAATAACTAGGAGTCAGCAGGCCTGCACGCAAGGACTGACTCTGCCACTAACTTCCTGTGTGGCCTTGGGCAAGGCACTAACTCTCTCTGGGCCCTGCTCGCCAATCTGTGAAATGGGCACATTGGGTAGATATTTGTTCCAGTATTTGGGGATTCTCTCTTTCTACCTCTGTCTACCCCCCTCTCCATGTCTGTTCCCTCTGTGTGTATTTTATCTGTCACCCTCTGTACATACCACTGTTCCTCCTTCTCATTGCCTGCCTCTCTGTTTCCATCTGGCTGTCAGTTTCCTTTCTCTCTACTTTTCAGACTCTGCCTCTGTTTCGCTCCTTCTTTCTCTCTCTGGATTTTCCTTAGGACCCAGTGAGGTTCATGGTGGGAATGATATAAATAGTTTGGGGAAGTGTGGAAAGCCAGGACAGGAATCACTTACAGCGTGGGACACACCTCCCCTCACTCTGAGGACTTTCTGGGGGAGTGAATTACTTCTTCCAGCTTCTCTGAGGCAAGGCTGTGTCCAGCCACCCCCAGTGGGCACCCGCCCGAGGCCTTCCCCTGCTGCCGTCTGCCCGACGCCCATGGTCACCACGGTGCCCGCATACCTGTGCCACAGGTTCGCCGAACAGGCTGTTTTCATCCTCTTCTGCATGTTCGCCATCCTCCTCTTCTCCCGGGACCCGAAGTTCATCCCTGGCTGGGCCAGCCTCTTCACCCCTGGGTGAGACTCTGGGTCTGAGTGGGATGAGAAGGTTCTGGGACAGGCCCCCTGGAGCTGGAGAGGCCGTGCAGGTGGGGAAACCTGGGCTGGTTTACGCCTCTTGTCCCGTGTAACTATTAACAGCTCCTTCTTTTACTCTCAGGAGTTTAGATTTGGACGATAAAACATTTGGGTTCTCCTGTGTTAAGAGCTTTGCCTTTGGAGTCAGACAAAACTGGGTTCGAATACCAGCTCTGCCACTTACAAACTCTGTGACCCTGAGCATATCATTCATTCATTCAATCAGTCAGTCAGTCAACATTTATTGAGAGCCTATTACATGCTAAACTTTATGCTGGATGCTGGGGACACAGCAAAAACAAGTCGTGCGACAACAAAATACTACAAATTGTAATGAGTGCTGTGAAAGAAGGAGCGAGAAGGTTATATTATAAAAGAACGGAGTGGGGGCGTTGACTTTGGATAGTGTTGGGAAAAACCGAAGGTTGGGAAGAGTAGAGGTGAAAACTGGAGACACACTGGGACTGTCTACTGAGAGCCTGAGGTGGGAGCCAACTCAGCACATTTGCAGAACTGAAGAATCCCAGAGTGACCGAGGCAGGTGGGAAGGGAGGAAAGTGGGCAAGATGTGGCTGGAAGGGTAGTGAGGGCCACATCATGGAGGGTCTTGTTGGACAAGTTAAGAATTTTGGTCTTTTTTTTTTTTTTGATGAGAGCAGCAGAAAACTATTGGCGGGTTTGAAGTTGCTTAACAGTCCATTGCCTCAGTTTCCCCATCTGTAAAATGGTATTGTAATAGTACCATTCTCATTGGATTGTTCTGACAATAAATGAGTTAATACATGTCAAGTGATTAGAATGGCACATAGAAAGGACTCAATAAAATATTAGCTATATTTATTAGGGAATGGATTAATGGGGGCAGAAATCTAGGTGGAGAGAACAGTTAGAACGTATAACACCATCTAGATGATCCCTATCATCTAGGGACAAGATTTTTCTGGGGAAAAATCAAAAGACAAATAATATTTTGTGACACATGAAAATTATATAAAATTCAAATTTCTGTGTCTACAAATAAAGTTTGATTGGAACACAGCACACCTATTCATTTATGTATTCTCTGTGACTGCCTTCATGCTACAACATCCAAGTTGAGTTGTGACAGAGACCATATGGTCTGCAAAGCCAAAAATATTCACTGTGTCGCCCTTTACAGAAGACATGTACTGACCGCTGGTCTGGGGGTGGGCTTCAATGGCTTGAATGAAAATGATAGCAATGGAGATGCAGAGTCAAGATATATTTCCAAGTTAGAAATGACAGGATGTGCTACTGGGTTGGATTTGGGGGCGTGAGGGAAAAGAGTACCTGCATTGATGGTGGTTAGTTGGAGAAGAACATTCTTTAGGGAAATTGGAGGTGGCTTATCAACAATTCTATTTTGAACTGGGTTAAGATTTATCAAGTCTTTCAAATACTGCAATGGGCAGTTGGCTATGCAAGCCTGGAGCTCAGAGGAGGTATCAGGTTGCAGATATAAATCTGGGAGTCATCCTGTAAATTTAGAATTTAAATCCATAGGAGTTGATGGGCTCAGCTAGGGAAAGTATAGGGAGAGTCTGAGGAACCTGACATGTAGGAGCTGGGTAGAGGAGAATGATCCAGTTAGAGAAATGGAGAAGCGGTTGGTGAGGTAGGTGGAAAACCTGGAGAAACAGATTAGCAGAGGCCAAGAGAGGAGCGTAATTTAACAAAGAGTGGGCAATTGTGTCAGAGTTAGAACACGGTTAGATGGGAGACATGTCCTCCGGATTTTGCAAGATCTGATGATTTTGATCAGACTGTCCAACAGAGATAATGTGAGCCATATATGTAGTTGAAAATGTGTTAGTAGTCCCATTAAAAAAATCCAAAGAAACAGATGAAGTTGACTCTCATAATCATTTTATTTAACACTATATTATTTCAACATGTAATCTATATAATAAATTATTATTGAGATGTTTTACATTCCTTTTTCCATACTAAATCTTCAAAATCTGGTGTGTATTTTACATGGACAGCACATCTCAGTTTGGTCTTGTCATGTCTCAAGTGCCCACTGGCCACGTGTGGCTGGTGGTGACCGTATTGGATAGAGCAGTTCCACACCCTTCGCCCTCAGAGCCTCAGACGCTGCTCTGGTAAAACGGTGATGTAAGTTCTGATCTCATGAGGGTTGTTATGAGGGAGAAACAATATAATTTGATGGAGCCAAGAGAAGTAGCTCTTATTACCATTCTTTTATTTTCCCAAAATGTAGGTGCTTTATTATTTTTTTCAGATGGAAAATGGGTGTTATAAACATTCCAACAATACAAAGAAAGTAAAAATCACCTAGAATCTCAGTCTCCATTTCTGATATACATCTTTTCTGACTTAAAAAATGCCTGTCTGGGAACTGTTCTACCTCTAGATTGCATTAGTGGTCACAGGACTGCGTACATTAGTCAGAACTCATTTAACTATATGCTTAAAACGGGCACATTTTATTGCATGTGTTAATTATACTTCAATAAAACGAATTTCATAAAAACACGTAAACTAGCTCAAAAGAAACTTATCTAAACACAAGATTTTTTAATAGAAATGTGATTATATATTATTTTGTAATATTGTTACATATTACAAAGTATTACATATTATATAATTACATATAATTACACATATATTACATATTATGTGTAAACATATTATTTGTGATCTATTTTTTCCTTTTTTAATTATAAAAGTTATGTGTACTCATAAAAAATTCAAACAGTGCTGAACTGAAAAAGTAAGTTAGTTGCCCTTCATCTACCCTCTGTCCCGCTCCCCAGAGATGATCACGATTAACAGGTTGCTGTGTAACACATCAGATAAACACACGCACACACACACAATAACACATACGCACAGACATCTACGTACACATATAACAAAACACTGGAAAATACAATAATATGATCATGGACAACTTGCTATTTCCAACCTATTTCATTGTTTTTAAACACTGCATAATATTCTATAGAATGGGAGTATCTTAATTTAACCAATTCCTTCTCGAATTACGTCCAATACTGCAAATAAAAACTTGTTTTTTTAATTTACAGGGTATCTTGGTTGTATTTCTATGTCAATACATAAAGATTTATATTATCTTATATCTATTTTTTTAAAAACAGATGTAGGGTATATTATATATATATATGTATATTATATATATATATATATATATGCACACACAATTTATTTAAACATGTCCCTGCTAAAAATCTTACATTTTTTTTTTACTCTTATTGATAATGAACATCCCTGTACATAATCTGTGGGCAAGAGTCCAGTTATTTCCTGAGGATAAATTCTTAGAAGTACAATCACTGGATCAAGGGATTTTCACGTGTAAAGTATTGAAACATGCTGCCAGCTGCCCTCCAGAAGGCTAACTCACTTTCTTTTCCCACCACTGGTATATGTTTCCCAACATCCTCATTAGGTATTATCACCGTTTTCAAGTTTTGCTGTCTGTTAGCAGATGAATGATACTCCATTATGTTTTGATTTATATTTCTCTAATATAGTGACATTGACCATCTTTTAGTTTCTTGGCCATTTGAATACTCTTCTTCCCAAATGTGTGGGCTGAGAGGGCTTTTGTTGGCTGTTGGCTCTGCGCTTCATTGAACTTGGTGCCAGAAAAATCTGGTTTCGATGCCCATTTCCTCCGTGGACCGTGGTCTGGCCTTGAGCAAGTGCTTCTGCTCTCTGAGCCTCAGATTCCTCATGTGAAATGGAAGATGCTTTTTCTGAGATTTCTGTGAGCTTAAGGGATCCACAGGACACACTGTGGATCCTTGAGAGGTGGTAGTAGGGTTTTGAGGGGCTATGAGGCAGGCTCAATCTGGGCTCTGCTGGTGTGAATGGGCTGCGTCCCTGTGTAGTGAGCTGCCTGTGCTGGGAGGAATTCAAGCAGAAGCTGAACAAATACATACAGGGTTCTTTCCAGAGCCCCAGTTTTGATGAGTCATGGGGCTTCCATAGATCCCAATAATCTGTGGCTCTCCAATTCCTCCCTCTTTAGTCAAGGCCCGCTTTGGGTCCTGGAACCCAGAGGAGAAGCATGTTTTTGGCTCAAGCAGCATCTAAATCCCCAGGGAGCTGTGGATAAGGGGCTTTTGCATCCCTGGGCGGTGGCCTCCACGCTGAGTGCAGTACAGGATGGAATCCAGTGGCCTCCAACAATGCCCCCTTCACAGCAGGCCTAATTCCCTTCCACAAATCCTCATTTACAAATCTGCCAAACCACAGCCTGCTGAGATGCCTGGGGTCACATGCTTTGGGGCCTTGTCATTGTAGGTTTCTTTCTGATGCTGTCACCGGCGTGACCATTGTCACCATCTTGTTCTTCTTCCCGTCCCAAAGGCCCTCTCTCAAGTGGTGGTTCGACTTTAAAGGTAAGGTGGTCAAGGCTGGGGTCTCGTGGGCTTAGTGAGGTCTGTGGCCCAGAGCGTGGTAATTTGTGGCCTGGAGGCGGGCCCGCGCCTGGGACCTGACAGCCCCAGTGTGTTAACCACGTGGTCCTGCTTGCCTCCCTTTCCCTGCCTGAGCAGTTACCTTGTCTGGGCATCTAGGGCTGCCTGAGGTGACAGTCCAGGGCAGGGGTTAGTCCACAGGCCCAAATCCAGCCAGCTGTCTGTTTTTGCAGGGCCCATGAGCTTAGAATGGTTTTCACATTTTTAAATGGTTGAAGAGAATCAAAAGTAAAATCTTTCGTGACACGTGAACTTTACATGAAATTTAAATGGCAGTGTCCATAAATAAAGTTTCTAATTTCTTTAATAAGAAATTTATAGACATTTGTTTTCTTTGATTATGTAAGTACCTACACAATAGCCTTGATTTTGCCTCTTGGCTCACAAAACCCAAAATATTTACTTTCTGATCCTTTACAGAAAAACTTTGCTGCCCTAGGACCCAAGGCAGGAGTGGCAACTGGGTTACCTAACGGTCAGACATGAAAATCTCAAGCTGGGTTTAAAGGAACAGGAGCTGCCGTAAGGCATTCAAGTTCAGCTTAAAAGAGTCACCTGAGCCGTCCAAACCACAACATCTGAGGGCTGGCCTTCAGATCGCCACTGTGACCACATGGGGTTTCCAGCAGGTGTCTGCCAGGAGAACGTGCTGCCACCTGCCACCTGTCACAGAGGCTGCACCTGGCCCATCTCCATCTAGGGTAGTGGGATGAACTCCGGACCAAGAGTTAGGAAATAGGAGCAGTAATCTATTTTCTGTTGTTGAAAAAATACGGTATTATGCAGGATAGCTCCAGGTTCAGAGAAGTGCGGGTCTGGACACGGGGAGCACAGAGTAAGGATCAGTAGGGAGATGATTTTACAGGGACCTGTAGAAGGTTACTGTGGCAGAGCTAGACCTCCAGGAGGCTAGAATTGCGTCCGAGGAGGCTGAGGGGTTTTGGACTCTGCAATCTCCATTTCCGCTTCTCTCTCTTACTTCCAACTAGCGTTCCCCACCATCCACTCTGTACATCATTTCTTGGTCCCTTCATAGTTTCTACTGCTTCTTAGCTGTTGCATCTTTATGGCTTCTGCTTCATTATACTCCCTGCCTTTTTATAACTTCCATTCCCTTCCTTATAGGAAGCTATGGAAGCAGATACGAGGAGGGAGTGGGCATTACGAGACAGAAGGGAAATGGCTGAGATGATACTTTCTGGTACTCAGCACTCAGGACTCCCATGGAGCCTTGGAGAGTGGTTTCCGTGGAAAGAAGGTCACTTGCTCAAGGTCGCACAGCTAGTTAAGAAGCGACGGGATACAGAACCCGGGCCTCCAGGCCGACCTTGATTTTCCTGTTACGCCTGCTGTCTTCCATTCTTCCGTGGGTCTGAGTTGCACCTGCATTTCTCTCCCTTTGTGGTCACTAACAAGTGTTGATGCAGCACCTGCTGTGTGCCGGCATTGTGCTTGTGGTTGATGTAATGATGGTGATGATGACTATGATGCTGATGACAATAATTTCCATTCCCCCTCTGTCCAACACGCTCTTCCTCCAGATTTCTGCATGGCTCGCTCCATCACTCTGTTCAGACTCTATCCAAGGGTCACCTCCCCAGAGAAGCCTTCCCTGACTACACTATCTAGAAAAGCACCCCTGCTTTGTCACTCTCTCTTTACCCTATATTCTTTTTCCTCGTAGCACATAAAATTTCCTGACATTATATATTTATTGTTTTATCACCTGCCGCCGCTACTGGAATGTAGTTCTCCAAAGGGAGGGATTTTCTCTGTTTTGGCCACTTCGGTATCCCCAGTGTCCAGAAGAGGGCCTGACACATGGTAGGTCCCCAATATATATTTGTTAAATAAATGACCCAGGACTTGCTCTGGGCCGTGCCCTGTGCTGAGCCCATTGCACACACGGGTCGTTTCATCTTCCTAATAGGTCTCTGAGGAGGTGCTATTTCTCCCTTTCGCAGATGAGGACATTGAGGCTCAGAGAGGTAGGGTCACTAGCCCAAGTCGCACAGCTGATTGGCAGAGCCAGAATTCAAATCTAGTTCAACTTCAAACCTGTGCTTTCAGCCACTGCTCTAGACAGCCAGCTGGCAAAGTGGAGCTGGAGTGAGAAATTCAGACAGATGGAGGCTGCGCTTATAAGAAATAGTGGCAAGGGCATGGTTGGATGGGAAAATAATACACAATAATAGCTAACGTTAATTCCTGAGTGCTTACTCTACGGTAAGCAGTCTTACAAGCCCTCGCCGTTTAACTCACTTCAACTGCATTGGGTCAAATCCAAGGTCAGGCCCTCCCCCTCCCCGTCCCACCCCTACGTTCTACGTGGGGCAACACTTTACTTTTTCAGATCCGGGCTGCCTCTTTAATGAAGTAATATTTTATCACCTGAAGGCACAGGGCTGGGCCACCCGACATGCCCAACTGGCTCTCCCAGTTCTGGGCTTAATTGTACGTTGCACCAGGCCCAGCATCCCCGGGCGGCGGGCAGCATCTGAACCGCGCGCATGCGCCTACAGGCTGCGCGCTTGTCTTTATTTCCCGATGATAAGCCTCCGTCTTAGATAACCGCGGTGTAAAATTTGGAAGAAGCTGAAAAGGAGAAACAAAATGTCAGTGGTTGCGTAACCGGGAACTGTCCTGGGAGACGGGAATCGCCATGAATGAGCCAGACCTGTCCCCACTGCCTCCCGGTGGCGGCCTGCAGTGACAAGTTCCATTTCAGGAGCGTTCACTCTGCACCAGGCGCTGGGCTAAGTGTGTCACAAGCGTTATTTGACAAGTATTTGTGGAGTGACTAGCAGGTGCCAGGCAGTGTTCTAGACCCTGGGGATACAGCCAGAGCTAAACAGAAATGTCCCTCTCCACCTATGGCTCCACCGTGGCCTCGTCAGGGCTCACAGGGACCACCCAGGTGCTATCGTTGTGCCTTGTGTCGGCTGAGGAGGTGCGGGCTCAGAGAGGCAAGGTCACGTTTCAAGGGCACGCAGCGAGCCAGCGCCCAGGAGGGTCTGTGCCAGGACTGTGCTCCCGGCGCGGGGATGGTGAGCCACAGCCCACGGGCCACGTCTGCCACCACCTGCTTTGTAACAGGATTTTGGGGGAGCATTGCCACACCCACTCGTGCTGATTCTGTCTCTGGCTGCCTTCACGCTACGATGGCAGCCTTGTTGCAACAGAGGCTCGCAAAGCGTCAGTGATTCGCTTTAACCCTTCACAGCAAGTTTGCTGACCCCCTGTCCTGACCGCTGCACACACCGCTGCTTTTGAGGAGAAACACGTCATCCCATGGTTCCAGGGGCCAAGATTCCCTGAGTTTCTGTTCTCCTGAACTTACTTCCTCTTTGTTTCCTCTCTGTACACATTCAGTTACAAAGAGAGCCTCTTCTCCTGTACATCAGCACGAAAGTAGCGCTTACCCAGAAGGGCCCGTGTAAGATGTAGATGATGTCCTACGTGTGGAGGGCCTGGTTCCAGAAGACTCTAGAGAAAGGGAGCCATGAAAATTATTTTCCTTCTGAGAGAGCAGATGCCCCATCATGATGCCTGGGAGCTTTTTCCCTAAATCTCCCGAATCAGATGCTGGAGGCAGATTGTGGCTTCCTGGAGACCCCTGGGTGTCCCCCGCAAGATGGGGCTTCAGGGGCCGGGGTCTCCTCCTCAGGCTGAGTGTCCTGAGTGGGTGTCGGGTCCCCTTCTGTGGAGAACGGTGTCCCCTCATCAGGCTGAATGTCCTCTCTCCACCCAGCTCCCAACACAGAGACAGAGCCCTTGCTGACGTGGAAGAAGGCCCAGGACACAGTGCCCTGGAACGTCATCCTGCTCCTGGGAGGGGGCTTCGCCATGGCCAAAGGCTGCGAGGTAAGAGCGGCCGGCGGGCTGCGGGCCGGGGAAGGGGTATGGGCGTCCCAGTCTCAGCTGCAGACTCGGCTCTCCAATCCAGATGATCGTAGCTCCCATCTCAGTGCCTGGTGCTGCGGACAAGGAGGAATAAGGATGATCTAGACCCTCAAGGAGCTCACAATGAGCATGATACTAATAATATCATGACTGGAGGGTTCTCTGAGCACAGAGGAATAACACCATATGGTCCTCATCCTGTGCCAGGCACTGTTCAATGTGCTTTACACATATTAACTCCTTTCAACTTCCCAACAAGCCTATGAGGTAGATGCCATTATCATCTCCACTCTATAGATTAAAAACCTGAGGCTCAGAGAGGTAAAGTAACTTGCCTGAGGTCACACAGCTTTGTACTCAGGATGAGAATCCAGGTAGTTTGGCTCTAGAGTCTAAGCTCTTAACCACTATGATATAAATGTTAGATATCATTAATATTAACTAATTAGAGTTATTATGAATGTTATTCTAGAGGGTTCTGTGAGTTCCGAGGCAGGGCCAGGACTAGAGTGAGGTGAGCGAGGCACTGAGGGTACAGGATTTCAGGAGACGCTGGCTCTCAGGGTCGTTGTGCATGGGCAGTGTCAGCCGGCCCTGCTCAGGGGACGCGCAGCCTCGGTGTCTGACACACATCAAAGTCGATTATCTCATTAAACCTCATGCTGACCTTACTCTCTTACTAGGGGCTAGGTAATATTTTTATCCCCATTTTACAGATAGGAAAACTGAGGCATGGAAAGATTAAGCAACTCTCTTAAGGTCACACCATTGCACTCTGCTCAGGAGCTGGGGTATGAACTCCCGTCGATCTGATTTTGGAGTCCAGGCTCCTCATGGCTCCCCCTCGAGGATTCCCCAGTGCCAGGCGCCACTTGAAGCACGCTGAAAATGTTGACTCTGTGACTCTTCCTAAACCCCACTGAGGTACATGCTGTCGCTGTGCCCATTTCAAAGACGAGGAAACGGAGGCAACGTGATGCTAAATAGCTTGCCCGTGTTTGTGCAGCCAGGAGACGGCAGGGCCGGAATTTGAGCCCGCAGCTCCTGGTGCTGGGCGCACCGTCCCACCCCCCCCTTCTCTCCGCTCAGCCGAGGCACGCAGGACCGCAGCCAGTTAAGGGTCAGTCTGAGAGTAGGTCAGGGAAACCTGAAATTACTTCTCAGATTGCTATCTTTTTTAATTCAATTTAAATTTGCAGTTTCAAATAGGGTTACAACGTAAGACACCTAGTAGGGTGTATACTGGTTACGAGCCGAGGCTTGGGGATCCAAGGACGTGGATTCAAACCCGAGCTCTACCGCTCCTCGCTGGGGCTCTTTGGGCAGGTTCCCTAACCTCTCTGGGCGCCAGTTCTCTCATCTAGGAATTGAGGCTCGAGGTTCTTACTCTAGGGGCTGTTGGAGTAACTAAATGTGATACCTGATGCAGTACATAGCGAATAGGACGTGCTAAGAACTCCCCGTGCGTTCTCTGCCTGAATCCTCACACATGGTTGCTGCAGGTTCGGCTGCAGGAAGCGGACTCTGAGATGGGGATTAGCGAGCAGGGGGTTATTAGGCTGTGCCCTTGAGGTCCGCACCTGTGGAAGGAGGAAGGCAGCAGGAGAGGCAGAGGGAGGAGTGGAGCTGGGAGGCAGACCCGGAGGAGCTCCACCCACTCGGCAGGGAGCACAGAGTGGAGAGGCCCTTCTGACCCGTGCTGTCGGTCCGCGATGGCCAGGCCTTTACGTGCCGGCGTCCCCCCATCAGTCTGCGGCGTGAGCACCCCGGGAGTGGGTGTGACCTCGGCAAGGCAACCCTAGGGTCTGAGACAGCCCCTCGGGGCTGACAGGGTTATCCGGCTGCTGCCCGTGTGCCCGCACTGGGGCAAGGCCCCCACTGAGGAGGTCTGGGGGGCACATTCAGGTTCTCTACACAGCTACTCTTTTTTATGATATGTATCTTAATTTTATTCATTTTTTCCGATAAGTAACACATGTCCAATGGTACAAACTTCAAAAGGAGCAAAAGGATGGATGAGTGAAAGTACTGTTTTTGTTTGCATTTTAGGAAACCTAAGTGCCAGGGAGGTTAAGTGACTGATTCTAGGTAAGGCAGCTCATAGGTAGCAGAGCTGGGATTTGAACTCATGTCTGTCTTACTCTTCTCACTGCTGCCTCCTACTGGGATGCATCAGGGAAGTCTTCCCAGAGGAAGTGACATGTTATCCAGGTCTTGAAGAGGCTATGCAATGCAGTGGCAGAAAGCATGGGCTGTGGAACCAGACCGTCTGGGTTGGAGTTGCAGATCTTCCACCTCGTAGCCGTGTGCCTCAGTTTCCTCATCTGTAAAATGGGAACAACAGTGGTGCCCATCTCGTAGAGTTGTTACGAGTATTAAATGAGTCGATTCCCATGGAGAACTTAGGACATAGCCCAGCGTGGTTGGTTATTATGATTGGATGTTGGGAAAGGGGAATCAGAGTCGAGGATGACATGGAGGTTCTTGTCCTGAGCAACTCGGTGGAAGTGGTGCCATTTACTGAGGTGATAGGAACCTAGCCTGACCCCGGGGGGCACGGCAGAGGGGATGACCCCACACCCAAGAGGCTTCTCCGAGCTCAGGGTGTGATGGGCAAACCCCGTTTCTCGGTGGGGGCTGGGCTGCCACAGTGGGGGCTGGGCTGCAGGACCGCCGAGCATGCTGGGAGGCCAGGCTGGCTCCTGGCCCAGCCCCGGGCAGCCAGCCGGGGCTTCTGTTCAACAAGTGCTTTGTGTGGCAGCTGCCCCTTCTTCCAGCCCCTGCTGGTACCACCCTCTCCGGGCAGCGCGGCCTGCCCCAGGAGGGAGCAATGCTCACAGCACGTCCTGCCTCCCAGCCCCTGCCAGTGTCCTCACCAGGCCACAGCGGCCTCCTGGGGCTTAGGGGTCCTCGGATGGGGCCTAGTGTGGACTCCTGCATGCTGGTTCCGAAGGGCTGGAAGCAGAACCCAGTGCTCGCTCTGAGCTTGGGCAACTCGCTTAAACCCAGTTAGTGTCCTCACTGCGGTTTGCTCCTGCTGCGAACCTGCCCGTGACTGGCCATATATTTAGACTCTAGTCTGAAGGCTTCCGCTGGCGCACACACAAGGCCCAGCGTGGCCTGACCCCTGCCTCTCCCTGATGTTGGCTGCTCCCCCTCGCCCCTTGTTGGCTCCCCTCCAGTCCCACGGGCCCCTTAACCTTGCTCAGCCGCCTAGACTCACTCGCACCTGCTTTCTCTCTGCAGAATGCTCTTGCCTGAGCTCTCTGAGCCCTCACCTTTCAGGTCTCAGTTCCAAAGTCACCAATGCAGAGGCTTTCCCCGGCCACCATACCCAGAGTAGTCCCTCCTCACGGTCATCATCCCTCTTATCACCCTGCTTATGCTGTATCTATCCCCAAATTATCTTGTTCATTTGTTTGTTTATTTGTGTCTCTCTTACTAGAGTGTAAACCCCATGAGGGCAAGGATTGTATCTGTCTTATCCACCACTGGTCCAGGCATCTGGAAGAGTCCTGGTGCATAGCAGGCTCACTCAGTAAATATTTGTTGGACATGACCTATGAGACAGCTGTTCTGAGGACTGATGACATGATGCAGGGAAAGTGCCCGGCAGGGGGCTGATCCCTCCCGGGAGCTGAAACCGGGAGCCACTGAGTACCTCACTACTCTGCTGGTTATTGTGGTTTTACTCTCTCATGGATGAGAAATGGGTCTTATTCTGGCACCTTCGTGTGTATCTCATTTAATCTCTACCATGACACACTTATCTACAAATATTGAGGTTATAGAAGCTTGATATTAAATCAGAGTGGGGCAAACCTGAAACAGGAACCAGCCTGGCTGAGCTGGGCCCTCAGCGTTAAAACCATGAAGCCTCTGACCAATCAGTAAGCTAAGAAGACAAGACAGAAACCACAAGTATAGGCAAGTAGAAATGTGTGTCTTCTCCCACACCCCTCATGTTCTGCTGGAGAGTCATCTTTATTGTTATTATTATTATCATCATTTTATTGGAGATATAGCCTAATGAAGTAAGAACCAGATTCTGAGCTCAAAATTCCACCCCTACAGCAAGTCATTTCACTTATTCGGGCAAATCACAACCTCTCCGTGCCTCAGTTTCTTCAACCATAAAATGGAGATAATTATACTGCTTACCTCATGGAATTGTTATGAAGATTAAATAAGTTAATATTAGCAAAGTACTCAGAAGAGGGCCCAGCACAAAGTAAGAGCTATATTAAGTATTTGTTAAATAAAATAAATAAGAATCAACCATATTTGGTGCTTACTATGTCCAGGAACTGTTTTTACGTGCACTCATTTAATCCTTACCACAACCCTTTGACGAGATCAAGGAACAGAGACGTTCATTAATTTGCCCGATGTCGCACAGCTTGTAAGCTGTACAATGGTTGGAATGTTCACACCAGTGCATGAAGCCTTCTCTTTTTTCTTTCCTTTAATCAAATTAACTGGCTCTCTCCCTAAGAATTATTATACAGAGTTGTACACACGCAGCCGAGCCTACTGCCTACTACTATTTTATGAGCCTTGTAAGAGATTTCCAAGGGTGTTTTCTATTGCGATTGCAACTCGAAGCATTTGAGTTAGACCGTAAGACCCTTACTGACCCTCCCTGTAAGATGTGAGCCTACTGTAAGTCAAAGAGATCAAGAAGCGAGGACCTGTTTGAAGTGGGGAAGGAGGAGGAAGAGGGAGCATCATCCTGCCAGCTCAGCTGCCCCCTCCCATCCTGCAGGGTGGCTTTGGGCAGCTCTTGGCACCTTTGGGGGCCATAAGGAATACACTTCGACAACCACGGCACCAGACGATTTCTGGGTGTTCCTCCACATTTGGCATCTCATGACTTGATGCTGCTAACGGCAGCTGGCGTATGTTGGGCACTTAGATTTTCTCCTTTTCTTCCAACAGTAACCCTCTGAGATGGGCCCTGTTATATCCTGGTTTACAGATATGGAAATTGAGGCACAGGGAGGTTAAGTGACTTGCCCAGGATGACACAGCTAGAAAGGATTAAAGTGGGGAAAAAACTTAGTCTGACTCCAAAGCCCTTTCTGCTTGTCCTCTGGCCACAGCGTCTCTGACCTGGCCTTTTGCTGGTCGGGCCATTGTGGAGCTGTGTGTTTCCAAGGAAACGGAGCCCTGATTCCTAAGGGAATGGGAAAGGGCAGATGAAGCCCTTTAGAGTCCCCAAGAGAATCTCAGGCAGCGAGGGGTTCTCCTCTCTCGTGAAGCTGCCAGACCTCCCTCTGGCTGAGGAACCTGAGCCAAGGCCCCGTGTGGCTGCTGTGACGCTGGCTGGAAGCCTGTCCCCTGGAGGCCCGGCTCCGGGGAAGCTCTTGGCTTCTCATTCATCTGAGTCACTAATATTCCTTCTCTCCAGCCCCTCTCCATTTAACTGCGCACAGTGAGGTCGGTTTCTTTGCCAGAGCTGTGGCCTCTGGGAAAAACCAGTGGCCCCATTTTTCTTTGCAGGCTTCCCTGCGTCCTTTGACTCTGCCATGTGCCATGATTTCTAGCTATCAGACAAACAATGAAGATGTGAAAGAAACACCTTAACTTGACAAGGTCTCTTCTAGGGAAAAATATTTTTAAGCCTTTATTATTCGTTCATTGAAGGTAACTTTTAAATCAAATTGTGGGGACAAGTGTATTATTTTATTTATGTAAAAACAATATGCTATATTCTAGAATCCATTATGAAATTTTAAGTTCTGGATAAGCTGTCAATTTTCTATCAAACATAAAAGAAATGCATAAGGTTTCTTTGATAAACTGAAGTTTATTGGTACCCGAGGATGCTGGGTTGATGAAAGGGCTATGGTAGACATGTATTGGATTCTAAGTATTGGGGCTAACCCAACTCTGCCCTTGATCAGCATCAAGCCTATGCTTTTGTTATCTTTGTTAAGAAAATGACCTACAGGACGTGCCCTTGTAGCTTTATTGCGATATCGCTGCATGGCACCACCAGGGGGTAGCATTGAGCACAATTTTATGTCCAGCTTTACCACTTGAGGGTCACAATGAAGGTGTGTTGGACTCTGGTTATTGAGGATACATTTGATGGTGGGAGGGCAGAGGTGGGGAGAGTATACATATTATATACTTGTAAACAGAGTAACTCCTAGAGAAGTCAGCAGAGAGAGCGTGGAGATAATTCGGCAGCATTGATGGCAGGGTGGAGTCTGGAGCCAGGGAGGGGATGGTCTAACCGGCCCTTTCTCTGTCCTGGAGGGCTACCGTCAGCTCTGGGCATTGCTCGTGTCCAGAGGAGGGTGCCTGGGTGACATGGAGCTTTGCGGGAGCATGTTAGCTTACAGAAGTACACGGCGCTGATTGTGAAATACATCTCAGTCGTTACTTTTGGGGACCGTGGGCAAGTCACAGAAACTCTGCCAGGCTCAGGGTCCTCCTCTGTCCCACAGCGACCAGTGTCTACCTTACAGGATGGTTGGGAGAAGTCGAGGGGGTAATGCATGCAGAGCCTCAATAATGGCGATTCTTATGATAATGTCGATAATGTTAATATTTGTATTATCATTGTAATAATCCTTATTATTGATCATAAATATCTTTATTATTGGTAATCATGTTGATAGTGTTGTATTTGATATATATCTGATATATGTTTTATATGATATATGATATATAGTTTATCTTGTATATATTATATATTTGATGTATATTAAAAGATTGTATAATTATAAGATTAATATTTTGTATAAATAATTACGTTAATATTTTTGTAACTAATAACCATTGTTGGAGGAATGGGAAGATTTATCATAGAGGGTCCAGTTCCCCTCTCCCACCTCAAGTTAGAGCTACCGGGTGCTAGAACCAAACAGATTATTTGGAGAACCAAATGGATTGTTTGAGGGCTGGAGCCGCGGGCCTGCAGAGTGTGGAGTAGAGAGCAGTTCAGGAAGCAGAGAAGCTGATTTCAGTCCAGGCTCGAACCTGTGACCTCCGCTGTGACCTCCGGCAGGTCACTTACTGTCTGTGAACCTCAGTCGGCCTGCGTGTGAAGGGGGCAGTTGTCATCGTTGTGGTGATCCTAACCCTCTCTCCTGGGCCCAGCCCTCAGGGTGGCGGCGGGGAGTGCTAGGGTGTGAAGAGATGCCCTTGTCCCCTCCCTCCACAGGAGTCGGGGCTGTCCACGTGGATCGGCGGGCAGCTGCACCCCCTGGAGAACGTGCCGCCCGTGCTGGCCGTGCTGCTCATCACCGTGGTCATCTCCTTCTTCACCGAGTTTGCCAGCAACACGGCCACCATCATCATCTTCCTGCCCGTCCTGGCGGAGCTGGTGAGGGTCCTTGCAGGGTACGGGTGGGTGGTGGGCAGGAACACCTCTCCCCTGATACAGGTTCAGAAATCTCTCCCCTGCTACCGGGAGCTCCACCAGGGGGCTCCAAGGGTCGTTGCTCTTGAGTGTCAGAGCCATGGTTTTTTGGAAAAGATATTTTTCTTTTCTTTTTTATAATTTTATTTATTTTTTTTTTCCCCAAAGCCCCAGTAGATAGTTGTATGTTATAGCTGCACATCCTTCTAGTTGCTGTACATGGAACCCGGCCTCAGCATGGCCAGAGAAGCGGTGCGTCGGGGTGCACGCCTGGGATCCGAACCCGGGCCACCAGTAGCGGAGCACACGCACTTAACCGCTAAGCCACGGGGCCGGCCCAGATTATTTTTTTCTTTAAGACATGCATAAACAGAGTAAAAATTTTCAAAGTGCACCAAATTCCCTCCTTTGGGAAAAGTAATCCATGGTAACATGAAGAGTTTTCTAGGAAAATATAAATTACCAAATTTGGATTAAGAAGAAGTAGAAAATCTGAGTAGACAGATAGCCATAGGGGAAACTCTAATGGTCAGCAAAGCTCTGGGCTCCCTCTAAAGCAGGCATTCTCAGCACCACTGACATTTTGGGCAGAGAATTCTCTGCCATGTGGGGCTGTCCTGTGAGTTGGATGGTTAGCAGCCTCCCTGGTCTCTATATACTAGATGCCAAAAGCTCCCCCTGAATTGTGACAATCCAAAATGTCTCTAAACATTGCCAAGTGTCTACTAGGGGGACAAAATCATCCCCAGTTGAGAACCACTTCTCTAAAAATCACCAGCCCCGGAGGGTTGGCTAAGGTGAGAGCTATCGACATTCAAGGAACAGATCGTTCCCCCTGACCCAGAGTGCTCCAGAGCACAGAAAGGTGGAGAAAGCCATTCAATCCAGGTGTAAGGTTAGCAAAACCCTGACACCAAAACCAAGCAGGAGAGCAAAGGAAACAAAAGTCAGAACTCAATCTCACATGTTAACCAAGATGCAAACAGCATCATGAATCCAACATCATATGGAAAGAAGCACAGATCATCTCAAGTAGAGTTTGTCCTAGGAATTTCAAAACTGATTAACAGGAGAAACTATCAATATAGTTTTATATTGAAAGAGATTAAAGAAGACCAAACCATATGATGATTTCAACATAATCCAAAATTGATAAAATAAAATCAGCATTGCAAGTATATGCTTTGCATGCAAACAGTGATGAGCCAGGCACACTTACCCGAACCACTTTGTTTTTGTTTTTTTTGTTTGCTTATTTATACATCAGTTTATAAGGGAGATCACACTGTATTAGCATACACAGAAATACTCTTTATTCTTTTTCAATGTCTAGAGAATATTCCATTATGGGTGGATAGTTGTGATTTTCTTAATCCATCTCCTACTGAGGGACATATAGGTTGTTTCCAGCTCTGCTATGATCCAACAATGCTACCTTGACCTTTCCCTGTCTGTACACGTTTGATTATATCTAGATAAATTCCTAGAACTGAGATCCCTGGATTAAAGAGCATGTGCATTTATGATTTTGTTAGATATGGGAAAATTGCCCTCCAAAGTTCGTGTGCCATTTTACACTCCCACCAGCAGTGTGGGGTGGGGGTCCCATGCCCTTGCTAAGTGTGATTGGATTTAATCGAGTCTTTCCCTAGGATCTGAGGGACCTGGCAATTGAGAGAGAGGGGGCTGCCATGGGGTGGTACAGGGCGGGGGAGGGAGAATAGACCCAACCAGGTCTGCGGGGGCAGCTTTTGCTGGAGAAGATGCTAGCAAATGACATATTATTCTAAATATTGCTTATCATCAAAATCAAAATACGTTATACATAAGGGGGTGATTTTAGTGCTCTTTGAGAAAATTTATATGCTTTTAGGTTGCAAAAATTCCCTAGAAAGGCCAAAAATGTCTTATCTTAAATAAAATGGTGGAGAACTGATCGACATGAATTATAGATGAATACATGTCATTTGAGAGAAGTGACAAACTGGTGTGCCTCTGACTGAGACCAACCCACAGACCTGTTTGTTTGATCCACAGTCTTAGAAATTTGGAAATGCTTGCCAACAGATGCAGTCTTGAGCTCTGTTGAGCTCTGAAACCCAGTGAGGCCCCAACAAAACATGCCCAGAGGCCAGCTGTTTAGACTGTCTGGCTGAGAGGAGGACCAGGCTCGGGACTTTTATAGCCCTGATTCTCAGCATGTGATCCCTGCATCAGCAACATCAGCATCATCTGGGGACTTGTTAGAGATGCACATTCTTGGGGCCACTCCAGACCTGCTGAGTCAGCAACCCTGGGAGAGGCGGGGCCTGCAGTCTGTGTTTTAACAATCCCTCCAGGTGATTCTGATGCACTCTCAAGTTGGAGAAGGAATGTTCTAGATAAATCTCCCCAGCCCATCCTCCCTGATGACCCTGCAGTGTGGCCCCAGGATGTCACTAACCTTGGGAATGTTCTCTGCATCTCTCCCATGGTCTGGTTCTCTTCTTATCTGTCTGTCTCTACTTCTGCATATTTGTATCTCTACTTTCTGTGTATTTGTGTTTGTGGCTCCATTTCTCTTCGTGTGTCTCTGAATCTGTCTTCTCATTTGTTTCTGTTGTTCCCCCTCACTCTGCCAATCTCTGTCCATGTGTCTCTGTCTCTCTTTCTGTCTCTACGTCTGTCTCTTGTTGTGGTTCCCCTGTACTTCTCTCTGTCGTGGTCTCTCCCGCCCCCCACCCCCACCCCGGGCCCAGGCCATCCGTCTGCGAGTGCACCCCCTGTATCTGATGATTCCTGGCACCGTCGGCTGCTCCTACGCCTTCATGCTGCCGGTCTCCACGCCCCCCAACTCCATCGCCTTCGCCTCCGGACACTTGCTGGTCAAAGACATGGTGAGTCTGGGCGTTCCCTGTCAGAGGCCCCGGAGAGTGGGTGGACCCCAGGTGGGCGGCAAGGCGTCTAGGCAGGAGTCCACCCCCACCCTCCCAATTTCTGAAGAGGTCATTCTGTGCGGGACCAGGAAGATACATTCTAGCAAACGCTCTGGGATGATTCTCATTCTTAGACAATTTCAGGAAACACTGCTGGAGTGCCTACTTTCCGAAGTTTGCTTCAGGGACAAGGGACTTCCCCCTCACTCCGGGCACTGCTCTCTCTTCTTCCTTGTTGGGCCAACTGCTCCGTGCCCAGAATCTTGAGGAGAGAGGAGCAGCAGACCACCCCTGGGACTTAGGGGTGGCCTCAGTGCCCAGCCAGCTGAGGAGGGAGACAGAAGCCCAGGGTTGTGGCCGTGGGGGACACCGGCTTTCAGCAGGCCTCAGCCACTGGGCAGCGTGTTCCCTCTCCCCGACGCGCCCCTGCTGAACCACTCCCTCCTCCTGCCTCCTGCTGCCCCTTCCCCTCCACGGGCTGCCTGGGGCGTTTGTGCAGTGGGCACTCAGGGAATGCAAATCCTAAACTGGTGCAACTGAGAAGAGGGATCAATTCACGACGCAGGCCCTCCAGGCTCAGAGACCCCAGCAGGATAAATGGAGAGAGAGCAAGAGTGAGAGGCAGAAAGAGACCACAGAGCAACCAGAGAGCAGAGACCTAGGGAGACAGACGCTCATTCACGTGTTCGCTCATCCGCTGCACAAGCTCATCCATGGCACAAGTGTTGGCTGAGTGCATTCTGTTCCAGACGCTGGGTTACAGCAGATCTACCTCCAAGGAGGTTGCTTTCTACTAAGGGAGACAGTCAACAAGTACAGCAGATTTTTAAAAATGTAAATTTCGATATTGCTAAGTGCTATGAAGGAAATAAGACATGGAGGACTGGGAGAGGATGACAGGAGAAGGAGGATTACTTTAGATGGAACAGGCAGGTAGGGGCCCTCTGAGGAGGTGACCTATGAGCTGCTGAGACCTGAATAGTGAGAAGCAGCCAGGCTTGCACAGAAAAGGGGAGAGCACCCCAAGCAGAGAGTAGCAAGTGCAAAGGCCGGGAGGCCAGGACTAGCTCCGTGCGTTTTGGGAACATAGGGCAAGGAGGCTGGTGTGACTGCAGCAGAGTTGGGAGGATGAGTTTAGAGACTTGGGGTGGGGGAGGTGCAGAGTGCAGGGCACAGGCTTGGGATGTTATTCAAACCCCAGTGGGAGGCCTTTAAGGGGTTTTAAGCAGGGCGATGATGTGATTTAACTTCTGCCTTTAAAAGATCATGTTGGCTGCTGGGTGGAGTGGATTGTTAGAGTGGGGAGGGACAAGTGTGGAAGCTGGAAGGCTATGTAGAGAAAAAGACACCAAGAGGGGCAGCCATGCAGACATAGCACAGATTCTGAGAACAGAGAGGCAGTGAGAGAAATGGAGAGACCCTGAGAGGTAGGAACTTGCTGAGAGATGTTGAGAAACACAGAACGATGCAGAGGGGTAGAAGGAGGCACAGAGGGGCAGAAGTTTCAGAGCCACCTGCAGTCTGCCAGGCCTGAGCAGGGCGTGCCCACCTGCAGGTTTTGCTCTGGAGAGAGGAATGATGTAGGTGTTAAAGAAACTAACGTGGGACTGAGCAGGCGTCCTGAGCCAGGCTCCCAGGACCCTGGAAAGGGAAGACCCAGCCCTCCTCCCAGCTCCCCCAAAGCTTTGGCCAGTCTCCCACTCCTCCAAAGTTGCCAGGGGCTTTAGACTCCCTAGGACAGAGGCAGGAGAGCACAAGGCAGTTTCTTGACCTCGTTATCGGGCATCCTGCCTTCACGATTTATGCCTTGTCAATGAACCATCTGTGGTAAATATTTATTTAACAATTTTACTACATCAACTTGTCTTTTAAAAACCTAAATAAGAATATTTAAAAAGAAAAGTTTTTGCTGCATCTGTAAATGGAAAATCAGTATCGCGTGCCTTAGAAGGTAAGTCTAAAAATAAGTGCAAGGGAAAAAAAAACAAAATAACTAAATTCTCCCTGATAACAGTTGCCTGGAGAAGGTTCTGAAACGCTGTTTGTTAAAAAAGATAACTGGCAAGGAGGAGATAAGCGTTAAGGGCATGGCAGCACCTAACAGAGACGTTCTCTGTGAAGATCCAATTCTAAAGGGAATTGGAAAGGGAGAACTTTCTTGCCGTGCGGTTCACGGCTGGGCAGTGCTAGCGCGGAGCAAGCAGAAACCCAGGGGGGAAGCGGCGACTGTCAGCCCAGGTGGGACTGAGTGGTCCGAGAGGTCAGCCTGGGAAGGAGCAAGTGGGCAAACTCTTTCCAGCTACTTAAAGAGGTAAACATTTCCCGAAGAAAAATTCTTCCCAGTAAAGGAGCATAGCCTTAACTGGACATGCAGTGTGTCTGAGTGTGTGTGTGTGTGTGAGGGGGAGGTTGTCTAATGACCAAATCAGATTATTTTCAAGCTGTCTGACATTGGGTAAGCCAACTTCTCTGCACCTCATTTTCCTCTTCTGTAAAATGGGGATCATAATAATAACCCTGGTGGGGCTGCTTCCAGGGTTGATGATATTATCCTATGACAACTGTGTGGCATAGTACCTGGCACCTCGAAACCAGTCAACGAATGGGGACATTTGCAGCTCTCTGAGGCACAGCCGAGGGCAGTGTAAAGATGGAAGGGTCTTGGGCATCAGCTGACCTGGGTCCAGGCTCCATCACTTCCGGCTGTGAGATCTGGGTGAATGACCCCTGATTCTGAGCCTGGGTTTTCCCATCCGTCTGACGGGCCTCGAGCTGACCACTCCCTCCATCTGGGCTCCATTTCAGGTGCGAACAGGCCTCCTGATGAACCTGATGGGCGTCCTGCTGCTCAGCTTGGCCATGAACACGTGGGCACAGACCATCTTCCAGCTGGGCACCTTTCCGGACTGGGCCGACATCCACTCAGTCAATGTCACAGCAGTGCCATCCACCTTGGCCAATGACACATTTCGGACCCTCTGAGTCCCCCTTGGGGACTCTCTTTGGGCTGGGCCCTCCCAAAAGGCTTTCGCCATCACCTGCTGCTAAGACCCTACAGGATGATCAAGCAATTCTTTTCTGTGATCCAGTACGCAGCAAGAGAGGGCGACCTCCAGTGGTCCACTTGGGTCCACAGGTTCATTATCTAGGACACTTTCTCCTTCTCTCTTGTGCAGTTCAGGTCCCAGTTGTCTCCCAGATCTGCTGCCTGAGAAACAAGCTCCTGTAACTCTGAGCTGGTCTGTGGTTAGTGCACAGGAGGGCCCAGCTTCAGCGACAATAGGCGCCTCTGGAATGGCAGTTGTCAACAGCTGGGATAGGAGGCCATCTGTCCCCACGGGTACAGCTAACATCCCCCCTGACGACTTTAGGCTACGCTCTGGAGGGACCATTTTGCCTTTAGGATCATCTTCCTCAGAGAGGTGTGGGGATGCGGTTCCAGTCCAGCTGTGCCAGCTGTTCCCGGCCGGCGCGTTCTGCCTGGTTGCTGCCCATCCTGTGCCAGTTGTTCCAATTACCCCTGCTGATACGAGTTATTTCCAATCCCTGGAGACTGGGGTGGGAGTGGGGGGACACAGATGGTTTCCTGAGGACAGGGGGACTGTGCAAAGCTTCCTTGCTGCTTCTCTCGGCTCCCGAGCACCCCAGGGGAGTTCTCCAAACCCCGGCCGACATCTCTACTCAAGCTTTTGAGGGTTTTCCTGCTTAATCTGATTCAGTGTGGCCATAATTCTGGGGTCAGGCCAAGCCCGGGCCCTGCCCTCTCGCAGGTGACCCACGGCCGCTCCAGCCAGGCCCCTCCTGCGTGTGGCCCGCAGGGGCCTGTGTGGCTGCCGGCTGCTCCTTGTCCCGGCCGCTGGCCTGTATGGCCGCCCCCCACCAGGTGGTAAGCATATCTGATTAGCAAAGGCCACGTTTTTCAGGGGAGAGAAAAATCGAAAGATGAATTAAGGCCTTGTAGAAGTCCAGGATAAAGTATCTCAGGCAGGCAAATATCGTAATCCTCTTCTGCAGACGGGGACAAATGAGACTTGCCCTGAGCCGGTGGCTGGCGGGGGCTGTCCTAGAGGGTGTGATCCCTCCTTGAGTCAGGCAGAAGCATCTGGGCGTCCCCAGGGAGTAGCACAGTGCCGGGCCCAGCAGGCGCTCAGGAAGTGTGGTGGAATGAGTGGCCCAGCGTTAGCCCAGCATCAGAAAAGGCACCAGCTTCGGGGCCTGGAAGCCTCCAGTCTCCCTTCCTGGGCCTCTGAGGGACAAGGCTCCCCGAGCAGCACAGGCTGGAGAGGCAGCACCCAGGGACTGGACTTGCTCTCCGTATAGCACAAGTGAGTCACAGATGTTCTCTGGGAGCGGCGGGAGGAGCGAGTGTGAGGATGAGATCCGCCTGCTTCCCATGCGAGCACGGCAGCGTTCAGTCAGTCACAGCCAGGTGGGGTGGGGGTGCACTCCTGTAGGACAGGGGAGGGGAGAAGTTCATTCACAGAGAATCCGCGGGACCTGTAACCAGGTGAATCACGATTTCAAATACTTCTGATTGAAAATGCTATAAAATAAAGAATGTTAATCAACACTGTGCCTGGAGATTATTTGACTTTCTGGGCATAAAAGAGCTCCAAAGCCCAAAATTCCTGAGCTGGAGATTCCACAGAATTGCCCTCCCTGACCTCACTTCCTTACTGCTCTCCCATCTCTGCTCTACTCCAGCCACGTACCCAAACTCTCCCCCCTCAGGGCCTTTGCACATGCTGTTCCCTATGCCTAGAACACTTAGCTCCCAAATACATACCTGTCTCCTCACTTCATTCAGGTCTCTGCTCAAATGTCACTGCCCCAGAGCAGCTTCCCTGAGCATCTGGTCTAAAATGTGAGATATTTTAGACCAGAGAGTTTACAGAGAGTAATTACACATTACTCTCCGTTCCCTTACCCTGCTGTGTTTTTCTTCTGACTATTTAGTCAGGACACTGTATTGTTTATTTTTTTGTTTGTTAGCTTTCTATCCCTCTAGAATATAAACTTAGGAGAATACAAACTTTATTTTGCTCAGGGCTGTCACTCTGGGACCTGGAGCAGTTTCTGGTACATAGTAATTGCTCAGGAAACGTTTGATAAATGAATCGACACCAGAATTGATGAGACAGCAGTCTCACCCTCTGATCTGGAGTCTGTTTGGTCCGTTTCTCTGTTCACTCGTTCTTCCATTTAGTCCTCCTACAATATTTGTTTAGAACCTGAGTACGTGCTGGTTCACCGTCCCCACCTGCGTGGAACTTACTTTCTAGCAGAGGAGACAGGCAGTGGGTAAACAAGCAGAGTGACTCTGCATCCTGATGCAGGCTAAGACAAAAACGAAACTGGCCAATGTGACGAACTGACTCAGAGGCTGCTTCAGCCGGGGTGGTCAGGGAGGGCTTCTCCGAGGAGGTGGCACTGAAATGAGACCGGAAGGAGTCACCCATGTGCTCTTGGGGGTGTGGGAGGAAGGGGATGGCAGGGGTGGTGCAGTCATTGGAAATATACCAAGGACTCATGTCTGGACTATACGAGGAGCACCCAGAAGTCAGAAGAGACAAAAACAAACCCAACAAAGAGACCTATTGTAGTTACCTGTGGCCGCAGAAGTCACCCCGAAACCCAGGGCCTTACAAGACAGCCATTCATTGGCTCACGTTTCTGCATTTGGTTTTGTCTCTGCTCCACGTGGTGGCCGGGGAACGTCCACGATGGCTGTGGACCCTCTAGGGTCACGTGGCTCCTCCAGGAGCCTCCCCTGGAGCTCTTTACATGGCAGTGGGCTCCTAGGAAGGCAAAAGCAGAAGCTACTAGGCCCCTTAAGGCCTGGGCTTGGGAGTCCAAGAATGTCAACTCTGCCCCATTCTATTGGTCAAAGCAGGTCACAGGTTAGCCTGGTTCAAGGGGAGGGAAATGGGCTCCACTCCTTGGTGGGAGGAGCGGCATCCACGCTGGGGAGAGGATGGTTGCCCACCATCTTTGGAAGCCTTCCACCATTACACCCAAGAGAAAATCGAGGGAAAGATGTGAACCTGACATTCTGAAAAGGGATATCTAAGCAGCCAGCAGGTTTATAAAGAGATGCTCAAACCCACTTGTCATCAGATAAATGGGAGTTAAACCAAGATTCAACCATACACCAATCAGGGCCAAGACTAGAAAAGTGGTCGATTGGGCTGCCCCGTGGCTTAGCGGTTAAGTTCACGCGCTCCACTGCTGGTGGCCAGGGTTCGGATCCCGGGCGGTCACCAACGCACGGCTTCTCCGGCCATGCTGAGGCCGCGTCCCACATACAGCAACTAGAAGGATGTGCAGCTATGACATACAACTATCTACTGGGGCTTTGGGGGAAAAAAATAAATAAATAAAAATTAAAAAAAAAAAAGAAAGAAAAGCGGTCGATGAGTGATGGTGAAGTGGGAGGAAACAGAAACCCTCGTGTTCCGCTGGCGATACTATAAACTGTTCCCGGCAGCCTGGCAAGCAATGTGGCAGTGATTGGGGGAATCCGTTATCTGCTTTCCCTATGTCCCAGTTATCCTGCGCCTGGGTTCACAACCCAGCAAATGATCCCACGGGTCCCCAAGAAGACAGCGTAGGAGGATATTCCTGCCACTGTTGTTGGAGGTACCAAGGAGCTGGAGGCCACCTAGGTGACCATCACTGAGGGGGGTATTTAAGTGAAATATGGAGGAAGGACGCTGTGGGAAACACGGCAACGCGTAGAAGCGATGAAGAGCGGGTGCACAGAGCAGAACGACAGGATAGACAGCTGCGGATTCCAGTGCATACCTCACACAGAAGTGCAGAGGTGGGCAGTCAGGTGGGCAGAGGGATGGAGGCGGTGATGGTAAGCGGAAAAGAACAGAGGAAGGAAAATCATTGGATGAGGGTTCAGACAGCTGCGTTGGACTCCTGGCTCCACCCCTAACACACCGTCCGACGTCAAGCAGGTCCTTCACCATTTTGGACTTCAGTTCCTCATCAGAGAGATGGCAGTGCATAGTCAGGGTCTCAGAAGGAGATAGTAAGCACATCAACTAGCTAATTTGGGGAGAGCTTAGTAAAGGGTCTAGTTACAAGTGTGGGCAGAGGGTCACCTAGGGAAACCACGAGCAAAGCGCAGGCCGCGGTGGCGGGAGGCAGGGCTAGTCCTGGAGAAGCACGTCCCAGCCCGAGGTCTGAGGGAGAGCCGCCTAACTAGAGCTGGGACACATCCAGCCCTTGATGACTCCATAGGGAGTCATCCCTCCATAGGGAGGGAGTGGCCCTGGATCCTCCTCTCCTCCCTCCCTCAGCTCTCCTGCTGGGGCTCCACACTGGCCAAATCCAGCTGTACTGGTCAGCGTTCTGCAGAGAAACAAACCAACAGGGTGTGTGTATACGGAGAGAGTTGCAATTTGAATCCAAAGGCAGTCTGCTGGCAGAATTCCCTCTTGCTCAGGAGAAGTCAGTCTTTTGTTCTATTCAGGCCTTCAACTAATTAGATGAGGCCCACCACTCTATGGAGGGCAATTTGCTTTACTCAAACTCCATCGATCTAAGTGTAAATCTCATTCAAAAACACCCTCACAGAAACATCTAGAATAATTTTTGACCGAATATCTGGGCCCAGCCAAGGTGACACATAAAATTCACCATCACACCAACAGAAGCCAGAATGCAAGAGAGTCCTTTGATGCAGTCCCCCCAGGTCCAGCTCGTGGGGCACAAGGCAAGGGGAGAATGGTAGAGACTGGGTCGGGAGAGGCAAACTGAGGAGATGTGGCCTGGAAGATTTAGACCAAATCAGAGCTTGTGATCCAGTGGTCCCCAGGTCTGCATCCAGCCCACTGTCAGGTTTTGTTTTGCTTCCCCCACAATGAATTTTAAACTATCAATTGATCGCTGATATTTAAAATTCAGGAGATTTCACATTAAAACCTGGACTTATGCTTCTCTTGGAAAAGCAAATACCAGAAGATCTGGCAATAGGGGACCCTCCTTGCTACCTGGCAACAATTGTTTGGAGTTGAGCAGAGGTGGTGGGAGAACTTAAGTTGAAGTGTGAACTCTCTTTTTTGCCACGGTCCCCATCACTCCTTAATGTTTACCCTGGCTCGCTTCATTTGACTCTGTCACCTTCCTGGCCTCTGAAGGCATTTGATTCTATGACTCCTGAGCTACATGATCTGGAAGGTCCATTTCAGTGTTAGTGGTCACAGGTTCTAATGGCCTAGAGCAGCCCTACACAGTAGAACTTTCTGAGATGATGGAAATGGCTTGTATCTGCCTTGTCCCATAGAGTAGCCACCTGCTCTGTGTGGCTATTGAACACTTGAAATGTGGCCGGTCCAAATTGAGATCTGCCCTAAGTATAAAACACACACCAGATTTTAAAAACTGAGCATGAAAAATATGAATGTAAAATATCCCATTAATAATTTTTTATATTAATTACATGTTGAAAGGATAATAATTTGGATATATTAGGTTAAATAGAATAGTAAAATTAATTTCACTTTTTTTTGTGGCTCCTAGAAAATGTTAAATTACGTATATGGCTCATACTCCGTTTCTATTAGATAACACTGCCTGTGTGATAAGATTCTCACCACCTCTCCACATTCTCAGACTGACTGGACAGCGGCGACATTCTACACCCACAGGCTGTGAAATTCAGTGACTCTAATATTCTACGGATCTTTGATTATGATTCTAGATCTGAAATTTCCCACTTCCTCTTCTGTTCTGTCTTATGGCTCTGAATCTTCCACCCAGAAATTCCCCTCCACAGAGCTGATTCTATTTTTGATGATTCAGAAGCCCCTTCCGGATGCTGTGGGCCCTGGAGTCAGGCCAGCCATATACAGGCAGAAGCAACTGCCTACATGTGCTGAGAAAAGCCAAGAATATCTTCTGCTCCTCCCCTCTGTGTTTCCCCATCCTCCCAAGTGTTACACATCCACCAGAGGCCTTCAGGAAATGACCAGCATGGTCCTTAACCAATCAGCTCCCTGGTGCAAGTGCAGAAACTGGGCGAATGCTGGTGTCTTCCAGGACCGCTGCCCTCTGACCAGCACAATGCCCCATGGTTTCCTATGTGATGGGACCTGGCCTTGTGGGCGTCACAGAGCCTGTACAATCAGGTCTGAGCAGCCTGGGGCTCACTCAGCCCAGGTCAGAGGGAGCAGGGTGGGAGCGTTTATCTATTGTTTACTGGGCATCTACATACATTATCTCATCGAATCCTCAACAATCTTAAGAACTAGGTACTAGTGTTCTCATTATAGCAGAGTATACACAAGTTCAGAGAGGGACAGTGTCTTGCCCAAGGTTACACAGCACAGTCAGTGGCAAAGCTGACGTTCAAGCACAGATCTGCTGCCTCCAGCCCGGGATCCCTGTGGTTCAGAGGAACAGCTATCAGTCCCTCTGAGGCTTCTGCAGAGGTTGTCAACTGGTGGCCCTCACTGGCTTTGGCCCACAGACCTGTCAAGGTTGGCCTGCACAGTGGTCTTTCATTTTTTTTAAATGCTGGCTTTAGAAACTTGGAGACTGTTACATAAAAATGGGAATGACTGGCAGCTTTGGAAAATCTAGTAATGTTGGGCCCCATTTCCAAGGGGTTTTAACCCTCAGCTGGAGCGGAGTAGAAGCTGCCCTTTTCGAAGGGGTCTACACGTGGCTGCTCACCGCTGTTTCCCTCTGGCCGGCTCTGCCCCTTCCCTCAGCTGGCCCGCCCCAGCAGGTGCGTGCGTTTCCTGCTCCTGGTCTGCTCTGCGTGCCCAGTTCTTGGTGGACTTGGAGCCTGGCCTGGCGCCCAGAGGGGCTCGTGACCTGGGAAGGGTGTTAGGCCCTCTGAGGGCCCAGGTGTCTCATTCAGCTGTGTGACTATGAGAATGTCACTTCCCTTATCCGGGCTGCAGATACCTCCTTCAGGCCTGAGCAAGCGACCCAGGCAATATGTCCTTATAAGGGAAAAGGACGGGGAGTCTGGAATACCACCTAGGTGTGCCCCCCTCCCCTGTCCATCCTGCAGGGTCGGGGGCTGGAGGCTCAGGAGAGGCCTAGTCCTGCTGGCTGTGATGGGGCACAGAGACGCTGGAGGAGAAGTGTCTGCTTTCCAGGTAGGGACTGGCTTTCAGAACAGCCTGTAAGTTACCTGCAGGGCCATGATTGCAGCAGAGTGCATGGAGGGAATGCACATTTATTGAGTTCCTGCCCTTGGCAAAGCCAGATGTATCACAAAGTCATCATGAGTCTTGTGAATTCTTCTCTCCACACCAGTAGAGCCCAGTGGCTGACCAGTGGACTCTGGGGCAGGACTGTTGGGTATAATCACGGCTCTACCTCTTTCTAGCTAAGTGGCTTGGTTAAAGGACTTAACTCTCTGGGTCTCAGTTTTCTGAACTGAAGAATGGAAATAATAACAGTTCCCACCACAAAGGGTCGTTGGAAGTAAGGACTCAGCGAATTCGAATAGAAACTGTTTAGAAGGATGCCTGATTCACAGCAAGTGCTCAATAAATGTTAACTGTTATTATCACTCATCTTTTTTTAGAGGAGGAAACTGAGCTGAGAGAGATGAGGGCACCCGCCCAAGCTAGGGGGGGACAAAGCTGTGATTTGAAGCGAGGTCCATGTCGGGCTAAAGACAGGAGGAGCTGGGGAGGGAGACCAGAGCCACTCATGACTGGACAAGAGTCTTAGCAGGTCCAGTGGTCTCCTGTGGGTTCCCACCCGCTAGGAGCTGGGATCAGGCTCCTCTTGGGGCACATTACTGTGGAGGGGGAGGGAAAAGGGGAGCCTGCAGAGTCCTAGTCCCAGTACCACCACTGATGAGCTGTATGACTTGTCGTTTTCCTCCTCTAAAATGGCGCTAAATCCCCCCTTCTGCTCTCAGGATTAGAGATGTTGCTGGGAAAAGGCTCTGTTTCTCTCCTCCCACACCTTCCACCCACTCCTGTCTGCCTGCCCTGCCGCAGAGGATGAGGCAGCTTGCCCAGCCCCCAGGGAGGTGGGCCCAGGCAGGGCGGGGCAAGGTGACCAGGAGGGCTTGATTAAGGGCAGAAAAGCAGAAGTGACAGGGTTTCCCAAGTCCTAGAGGACGCAATTCCCCCTACTTCCTCTCCACCTACCATCGCTGTCTGAGTCCATCTGCCAGGATCGGCTGCTATTCGGGGAGCATGAGAGCCCTCCAGGGGACAGCTGAGCGCCTCGTCAGGACCGGGTAGGTCTGGGGACTTCGGACACAGGGAGCCACAGGCAAACGGTCAGTGGTCAGGCTTGATGGTAAGCCTAGGTCTCAAGCGCTGCCATTCCCCGGCTGTGTGTCTTTGGGTAAATCCTTACCTCTTTGAGCCTCAGTTTCCCCATCTGTGGAAGGAGAGTAATAATAATGTCTATAAGACTGTTGTGGGAGCTGAATGAGAAAATGCATGCATAGGGCTTGCTATTGTGCTCAGCCCACAGTAAACACTCAATACATGGCAGCTAGTGTCCTTATAACGATAAGGCCATAATTCATCATCTCTAACCTCAAGTGGGTCCTCGATGCTGCCCAGCACCTGTGTCATTTCCCTAATTCACTTACTCTCCCACTTTTCCGGAGAACTATTTTTTACCTTCTCCTTCATCTTCAAGCCTCTGTCACCTCCTCCAGCATCCTCACCATCAGGGCTGCCCTCACATCCTGCTACCCTGAGCAAACAGAAGCCAACACGCTAGGGGCCGGCCCGGTGGTGCAAGCGGTTAAGTGCACGCACTCTGCTGCGGCGGCCCGGGGTTTGCCGGTTCAGAGCCCGGGCACACACCGACGCACCGCTTGTCAAGCCATGCTGTGGCGGCGTCCCATATAAAGTGGAGGAAGATGGGCATGGATGTTAGCCCAGGGCCAGTCTTCCTCAGCAAAACGAGGAGGATTGGCAGATGTTAGCTCAGGGCTGATCTTCCTCACACACACAAAAAAAAGCCAACACGCTAGAGTCAATAAATATTTATGGAGCACCTACTACGTGTTAGACGCTAATCTAGGCACTTGGGATATACCAGCGATCCAAAGGGACCAAGTCTCTGCCTGTGGAGTTGATGCTCTAGTGACAGATAATAGCTGATATTACTATGGTAATGTACTTAACTATGTGCTAGACACAAGATGACCCTATGGGGTACTACTTTTATTGCACCATTTTACAGATGAGAAAACTGAGGCACAGAAAGGTTAAGAAACTTGACCAAGGTCACACAGCTGGTGAATGGTGAAGTGGGGATTTGAACCCAGGCAGTCTGGAGGTCACACCCTTAACCGTTGCTCTGTTCTGTGTACGTCAGATGATATGGATATATAAGTGCCCATACTTTGCTTGCCCATTCACCGTCTTCTGTACCCATTTCCTCTGCCTTACCACCTGCTCTTAAGGATGAACAGCCCCCACTTCATTCTAAGACCAGCCCCACCTTTTGCACTCTTGGTCTCGGCCCCTGCCACCCACGGAAGGATATTTCTCCAGCGAGCCACCCCTTTGTCAATGTCCCCTCTTGATTGGATCTCCCATCTGAAACCTGCTAGAGTTTCTCTCGTCTTAAACGAACTCTCCTGGTCCCATTTCCCCATCTGCCCCTCCGGTCCTCTGCTCCTTTACTGCAAAAATGCCTTGAGGGAGTTGTCTGCACTCCTGTCTCACGTTCTTCTCCTTCTGGTCTCTCCTGAGCCCACTCTGGTTAGGTTTTGGCCCAACATGCCATCAAGCTACCCTTGTCCAGGTCACCCCTACGCGGCTAAATCCAATGGTCATTGCTCAGTCCTTGTCTTTCTTATCCATCAGCAGCATTTGACATGTTTGATCTCTCCCTTCTTGAAATGTTTTCTTTACTTGGCTTCCCAAGCACCACGTTGTCTGGTTTCTCAGACTCCTTCACTGGTTCCTCCTCACATCCCAACCTGTTAACCCTGGAGTGCGAGGGCTGGGTCTTTGGCTCTCTTTCCTCCCCGTCAGCACACTGTCCTGAGAACCTCATCCGCTGTCCTCTGCTGGCCCTGTCACTCCCTAGTGTAAACTCTTGAGTGCGGGATTCTCCTCTGTGTTGTTCATTCCTGTCTCTGCAACGGCTAGCACATAGTAGTTGCTTAATAAACATTTGTTGTGTGACTAAATATAAGGACAATAGGGTAGAAAAGTTCCTCAGAGGTCAATTGATCCACTCTCCTCCCACTCTCCCCCCCTACAAATTACAGAGGAGACACTCAGGTCCGCAAAGAGGGAAAGTCCAGGGTCACGTAGTGAGTCAACCAAGACTAAGAATTCAAGTGAAATAGTGTCTCTCTCTCTCTCCTTGTTTCTCTCTCTCCATCTCTATTTCATCTGTACTTCTTTCTCCACGACTCCATCATTCCCTTGGGCCAGTTGCCTTCACAAAACCAGAATTATGTACACAAGCAGCCCAGACATCCATCCCCACGTCCCCAGGAACTGCATGGAAACTGGGCTCTTCCCTGACAACTCCAATGAGAATAATCCTGGGGAAGGCTCTGATTGGTTCAGTTTGGGTCATGTGGGTTTGGGGTGGGTTACTCTGATTGGCCCACCTGGGAAGAGTGCCCACCCCTGTGGCTAAAGGGGTGGAGCCTGTTAGCAGCTGAAGGGTTTGCGGGGCAGGGACAATGGGCAGACAACCACCCCCCACCCTCTTGATAGACTTTCCCCAATTTCCTTGTGTGCAGGTGGAGATTCTGGCTCTTGGGGCTCTGCAAGGCCCTTGCCCTGCTGCAGGCTGCCTGGGTTGCCTTCTCTCGGCCTGTCCCAGCCAGCTGTGGCCAGCTGCTGACCCAGCTCCTCCTGTGCGGTTCCCTGGCCACTGCTGCCGCAAGTCTGGCCCACCACTGGCTGGTGTCCTCGCTACTTTATCCTCTGGGGCCCTCGGCCCTGGTGGCCACTGTCTGTGGCCTGCTGGTCTTCCTGGGTCTGGGCCTGGTGCGCCCAGCTCGCTGCCTGTTTGCACTCAGCGTGCCCACCCTGGGCACGGAGCAGGGCCGCCGCCTGCTCCTCTCCTGGAGTGCTGCCACCCTAGCTGTCGCCGTGGTGCCCAACGTCTTGGCCAACATGGGCGCGGCTGGGCAGGTGCTGAGGTGTGTCACCGAAGGCTCCCTGGAGAGTCTGCTCAACACCACTCAACAGCTGCACGCCGCGTCCAGGGCTCTGGGCCCCAACAGCCAGGCGAGCAGCCAGGGCCTGACGCTCCAGGCCCAGGGCAATGGCTCTGCCTTCCGGCTTCACATGCTCAGGGTCACTCAGCAGGTCCTGGAGGACTTCTCTGGCCTGGAGTCCCTGGCCCGGGCGGCAGCACTGGGGACCCAGCGGGTGGTCACAGGGCTGTTTCTGCTGGGCCTCCTGGTGGACTCGGCCTGGTACCTCCATCGCTACCTGACTGACCTGCGGTTTGATAACATCTATGCTACTCGGCAGCTGGCTCAGCAGCTGGCAGAGTCCCAGGCCACACACCTGGTGGCCTCCCCGCCAGCCTGGCTGCTCAGGGCGGCCCGGCCGAGGCTGTCCCAGGGGGAGCTGCTGAGCTGTCTCCTGAGGCTGGGGCTGCTCACCCTGCTCCTGGTGGCCACAGCTGTGACGGTGGCCACGGACCACGTGGTCTTCCTCCTGGCGCAGGCAGCCGTGGACTGGGCTCAGAAGCTGCCCGCTGTGCCCATCACGCTCACAGTCAAGTACGACGTAAGTGCGGTGATGGGGAGACCGGCATAGAATCATCTCCTCGAGGGAAGGGGTGGGGTGTGTTAAACACTTGATTCGCAATTGAATTTGGCCTGCCTTCAGGTCATAGCCCTTGGGTAAGCTGTGGGACCCTGGGGCATCCGCAGGTGAACTCATTTAATTCTCACAACAGCCAGATGCAGTTGGTTCTGTTTTCACCCCTTATTGCAGGTGAGGATACTGATACCCAGAGACATTAAAATAGTTTGCCCCCCAAGGTCACTCTGTTCACAGTGGCAGCCTGTCCTCACCTCATTTTCCTCTCTTGTACAAACTAGATCAATCCTCCTTACCCTACAAGGTTACCCTACAAGTCTCAAAACGTTATAGTCTCTAGAAGGACCTAGCAAGCTCCATGCTACCTAAGACATGGTTAACAAATACTGGCTATTATTAATAGCTCACATCTATGTATATCAGGCGGGGAGGGCTTAGGAATAGTCTAGACCAGGGATCCACCAACTGCGGCCCACAGGCCAAATTCTGCCTGCTTCCTGTTTTTGTAAATTAAGTTTTATTGGGACACAGCCACCCCATTTATTTACGTATTGTCCGTGGCTGCTCTACAAGGGCAACGCTGCGTACTTGCAACAGGGATGTACGGCCTGCAAAGCCTAAAACATTTACTATTTTAATAGTAATATAAAACATATTTACTATCTATTTACTATTGAATATATTTACTAGTTCATCAAGATTTGTGGTTTTCCATCTTTTCTTTGGCCACAAATCTATTTATTTTTTATTTTTAATGGTGAGATCTCACACAAACATCCATTATATAAAACATACAATAGTGTCAGACTCTGAGCTAGTAATACTAACAGCTAATACTTATTGAGTACTTATTATATACCAGGAAAGTGTTTTTCAAACTGCATGAAATCAATTTAGGGGGTCATGGTCAGCTTTTTTTTTAATGAAACAGAATAGATTAGAAATGTATTACAGTATATTTACATGATAACGGTATGTATTTTATGAAATTTTTCTTCAATCACAATACTATCTGTGCTTGGAAGGTACTGTAAAATGCATTTCTCACTGTAGATCACAGTAAGGAAGTGTGTCAGGCCATGTCCAGTGTGTTACCTGATTTACTGTATTTCATCAGATCTAAGATGCCATTGATTGCAAGTCACGCCATTATTTAACGTATCGTTAGGAAAGAAAATGCTGCCAATTAAAACATGACACAGTGCCTTCTTATCATTTAGAATTTTATCAATTAGAATTCGTAATAGAAATCAATTAGCCTTCTTATGAATTAGAATTAGACAAAAATAGTTCACTTATTATTCAACATAGATTTATTGTAACACATCTTTCTCATGTACAGACAGCAAGAAAAATAGTGAAGTAATTTGGTGAAGGTTTTCCTAAAAGGCCGTCCCTTTCGAGCCTGACTCTTCTGAGTGACTCTGGCTGAGTTGTCAGTGTCTGTGGCTTTTCACCCAGTATTGTTCCCTGTGCCTTTAGAGCACCGGTGATGCTCCACTATCATTTCCAGCATTTTCTTCCAAGCTGCGGACACCTGCTCCGCAAGTGTTGACGCTGGCACCCTCTGATCCTCTCAGAAACGTGACTTGGCACGACTGCGGAAAGCAGTTACAAGTCATATGGATGTGAAGACATATCTTGATCTTAAAGACGTTAAAATGTGGAAAAAAAAAAAGAATCCCAGAACTGATGAAATAAGATAGCTCATTTGACTGTCACTGTGATCCTGTAAGATAGAAGTTACCATCATCGCCATTTTACCCATGAAGATCCCGAGGCTCAGAGAAGCTAGGGAACTTGCACAAATTCAACCAACCCGTAGGTGGCAGGGCTGCGCTGTGACTTTTGTGGGCCCTAGACACGTTTACTTTCATGGACTCCTTTCTCCTTAAAAAATATTAATGACAAATATACTCATATTATATAGTGAAACATATTCTTCAACTTAGAAGTTCATTCTTATTCTGATTTTAAAAGAAAATAGAACATTTTCATAATCCCCTAAAAGAACTGTGGGCCCCAGTACTACGCCTAATGGAGACGTTGGGCAGAACCTGGGCAGGACATGCGCAGAGCCAGGATCCGACCTAAGAAGTATGGCTCCAAGTTCAAATGGTTAAGCTCTGACCTCCCTCCTCTCTAGACACCACTCTTCCTCGCTCCAACATACCCCATGGAAATTGTAGAGCTTACTGCTTATGAGCAGGATACTGGGACATCCCCTGGCTGGGACTGACCCCTGTGTTGCCTACGTGTAATCCACTGTGTGACCTTAGGTTCTCCATCTTTTAAATGAGGCTCATTCTGAGCTCAGCCTCATAGAATTGTGCTTATTTGATGGAATAAAACATCTAAAGTATTCACCAAGGGTTCGGCAAAGAGTAAATGCCCACAAGCATTGATTTGTTTTCTCTAAAGTATTCTCTTCAACGAAAATAATAATAAAAATAGCATTTGTAGGGCGCTCTTTATTCGGCAAAAAGCCCGTTTCAGGCTCCTTATCCCATTAATCCTCCTCAAACCCCAGGAGGCAGGAGTTACTTCTGTGCCCATTTTGCAGATGGGGGCAGGGAAAGTCGGACCGTCCAGCCCTGCAAGCTTCCGCAAGGTTGGGGACAGGGAAGGGGGGGAGCGTCTGTCTGTTGACCCCGCCGTTTCTCCTTTTTGAAGGCTGCGTACACCGTCCTGGGCTTCATCCCCTTCCTCTTCAACCAGCCGCCCGCGGAGAGCCCCTTCGTCTCTGCGCACAACTCCTTCCGGTGGGAGCTGCGTTTCACCGCCCGCGGCTGCCCGCTGCTGCCCGCCCGGCGCCCCCAGGCGGCCGCGCCCCTGGCCGCGGGGCTCCTGCAGCTCGGGGCGTGCTCCACGGTCCTGCTGGAGACCTACGCGCGCCGCCTGCGGCACGCCACCGCGGCGGCCTTCTTCCCGGCCCAGGAGGCGCGGAGGATGCGCCACCTCCACGCCCGGCTGCGGCAGAGATACGACAGGCGCCACGGCCAGCAGCTGCCCCTGGGGACTCCTTCCTGCGCCGGACAGCCGGGCCTGCCAGCAGGCGCCCAGCAGGGAGACACGGGCCTGCTGCACGCCGGGCCCTGGGAGGAACAGAGAGCAGTGGGGCAGAGGGCAAAGAGCTTCCGAGTCGCACAGACCTGAGTTGCAACCTTGGCCCTTCTGCTGCCTCCCTGTGTGACCCTGGGTAGGTCGCTTCGCCTCTCTGAGCCTCGGTTTCTACATCTCCATAATGACTGTATAATAACAATCGATGTGACCTACTTTCCACACGGGAATGGTAAGGATGGAATGAAGCATTGGGCATGAAAGGCCTCAATAAACAGAGAAGAACTATGCAAAGTGAAGACGAGGAAGTGCGGGGGCGGCTCACAGTTCCTCCAGGCCAGCTGGGGGTCGGTCAAGCCCCTCCTCTGCGTCAGCTGCTTTGTCCCCTAATGGAAGACAGAGAATTCGCATCACGAATGTGTCTAAATGCTCCTGGATCTTATTTATGTGCCCCTGAATCCTCTGACCTTATTTATCATAATTTAAAATTTTCTTGATTTTATAAATAAATGTATTTATTAAATCCTAAATTCGATTATGTTACGCCTTTGATTCAAATTCCTTCAGAGGTTCTCCATCTAGGATTGCCAGGTTGAGCAAATAAAAATACAAGACACTCGGTTCAATTTGAGTTTCAGATTAATATGTGTTTAGTATAAGTACATCCTTGGGACATACTTATACTAAACATACTTATACTAAACTCATATTTGTTGTTTATCTGAAATTCAGATTCAACTGGATGACCCGTACTTTATCTGGGAACTCTAACCCCATCCCCACTCCTTGGGCTTGGTATTTCCTGTTTTTCTCTCCAGATCATTCTCTGTCCTTCTCTCACCTGCCCTCTTTCCCAGGAGTCTGACCTCTGTGAATCCACCCACCTGGCTCCCTTGTGCTCTGACTTCCAGCTGGGCTCTGCCAATGGGAGGCTCCTGAAGGCGATCCTAGGTGTGAGGGGAGAGAGGGTGGAGATATTTATTCCTGCAGCCCTCTGGGCTGTAATCTGGCAGAGGTCACATTCTGTCATTCACAACCACAGCGTGTCTGGCCGCGTGGCCCCTCTCCCATGGCTACAGCTCCCCCTCCCGGATTCTGGAAGGGTATGGCTTCCACCGCTGCTAGTCCCTGAAGGGACTCCCTTAACCCAGTCCCCACCTCTGTACCTTCATTAAACTCTCTTTAGTTATCCCTTTGAGGCTATGATCTCCTTCCTGCCAGGACCCTGAGTGCTGTGCCCTGGGTCACAAAGCCCTGACTGAGCCAGCCTCTCCCTCGCTACTCTGCCCTGGCCACATGGGCTCAAGCTCCTCAGACTTTAGGCAGTTTGCACCTCAGGGCAACACCCTCGCTGTTCGCACTTCCTGGAACATTCTTCCTTCAAGTCTTGGCATGGCTGGCTTCTTTGCATCATTTGGGCATTAGCTCAAATGTCACCTCCTCAGAGAAGCCTTCCCTGACCACTCCACCTAATATTGTCCCATCCCATCTAGTTTCACTCCATCACAGGAGTCAGCGAACTACAATCGGTGGCCAAATCTGCCTGCCGCCTATTTTTGTGAACAGAGTTTTACTGGAACATTGCCGCACCTGTCGGTTTAAGTGTTGTCTCTGGCTGCCTTTGCTACGATGGCAAATTTGAGTAGTTGAGGCAGAGACTACACGACCCATAAAGCCTAAAGTATCCAGCCCTTTGAATAAAATATTTGCCAACCCCTGATCTATCATATCGTTTTATCATCCCTATAAATAGCCTTATCAATATCCGTCATTATCTTATAAATGCGCTACGATGTAAGCGCCATGCTCTCTGTCTGGCTCTCAACAGTATTTTAGCACCGAAAGCAGTGCTGGGACAGAGTAAGCGCTCAGTAAAAATTAGTTGAATGGCCAGACATGTGGAGGTAGAGTTGCACTCTCTCTGGTCTCAGCTTCTTCATGAGTCCAGATTTGGGGCTTGCAGAAGGGGATGGTCAGGGGCTGGAAGCGGCCTGCACTGGGTCGAGTTTATGGCCAAAGGGGAAGATACAAAGCAGTAAGAACTATCGCATCAAGTGTTTCAACTTAAACAGCCAGTGTACGTGGGAGAATCATATCAGGCCCCAGGCAGCACATCAGCTCTGAGCCTCTCAAAGCCAGCCCCCTCGTGACCACGTGTGTGCTGGGCAGAATAATGCCCCCAAAGCTGTCCACACCCTACTCCCCAGAACCTGTGAATACGTCACCTTACAGGACAAAAGGGATTTTGCAGACGTGATTAAGTTAAGAGTCTGGAGATGGGGAGATTTTCCTGGATTATCTGGGTGGGCCCAGTGTTATCACAAGGGTCCTTATAAGAAGGAGGCAAGAGAGCCAAAGCCAGAACAGAAGAAAGAGATGTGGGGACTGAAGCAGAGGTTGGAGTGACGTCATTTCGAGGAAGGGGGCCCGGACCAAGGAGTGTGGGCAGCCCCCCTGAGCCAGCAGGGTAGGAGCAGGTGGGGCTATGGAGTTCTTCTGGGCCAAACATTCCGTCTCCCTCCTCTGTTGCCCTCTGCTCCCCTCCAAATTCTGGCTAGAGTGGATCTGGGGGATCATAAATTCCACATAATTATTGTAAACCCCCTAGGTTGTCTTTTTTGTTGTTGTTTTTGCAACAAGGATAAGAAAAATGTATAAAATAAAGAGTTTGCAATCTTTTCCTCATCACCCGTACACTTCCAGAAGAAAGTTTTCTTGCTGTTGGGTCAGCTTCTAGGCCTTTCTTTGTGTAGAATCTGAGTAATAAGTAAACAAGGAAACAAAAAGAAATATGAAACTCTAAGTTGATCTAATTGACAAAGAACTAACGTGGGCTGAATTGGGTGCCCCATCATTCAGGGTTTAATTACAGATAAAGAAATTGCTCTGGATATGTCAAGCCAGGGGAGATTTAACACAGGGAATTGGGTCCTTACAAAGTGGTTGGAATGAGGCCCCAGGACTCAACCAGGGAACTCAGCTCTGCTATAATCAGGAAGCTAAGAAATCAGAAAGCCACCACTCAGACAGCTGGCTCTCAGAATGCACCATCTTGGCTGTGTCCACGATGAGAAAGACGCCACCACAACCAGAACCAGGCTGCACGTGCAAGACTTGGCCCACGAAAACATGCAGGCCCCATGCTCAGCCTCTCAACCTCGCAAAAGCTAGAGCCCCGATACTGAGATTTCCATTAATACCGTCCACCAGCACCTCCAGCGGGCCTGCGGCATCGCACACCTGGGGATGCCGTTCACATCACAGTCCGAGAGTGATCACCTCGAGTTGATGTGCAGGGGTCCCCTGCAGCCTGCATGACCCACCATGGTGACCTGGCTCTAAGGCTCTATTTCTATTTGTCAACAGAAACAGAAGCAGCAGAAATGGGGCTTCTACTTCCTTCCATCTTCCAAATCTCACACAGGTGCGTCTGATCGGCGGAACCTAAACCACACCAGACCCCTCACTGCAAGGAAGTCTTGGAAATGTAGTTTTTAGTTTTCCGACCTCTGTAGTTTGGGAAGACATGCCAAAATAATGGCTTTGAAACTTTTTTGATCTCCCTCCACAGGCAAAATGCCTTTTTTTTTTGCAACCCCGTACACACACATACACACATGCACGCACCTGAAGTAAAAGTTTAATGAAAAACACATTCTTAATTTGTGCAATGCACCTTGATATTTTCTATCCTGTTTTATTCTATTCGATTCCATTTAATCATACCTGATTCCATTCTACTCTAGCTTAGTCTACCTATTCCATTCCAGTCTAGCCCACGTCGTTAAAACATTACTGGTAAGGACTTAGCAAGTTGAAACACTGTTGAAAAGGAGGGTGGATTGGATATCTTACTTGCCCTGGAGAAAGAAACTTCTGAGATGTGAGGCATGCAGTTTAGAGACAAGAAGGAAAGAGAGAGTGTTGGTAGGGCTGCTGCCTGGAGTGTGAAATAGTGAGACAGAGATGGGGAAAGAGGATTTTAAACAGTTTTGTGGAGTACTGTCCCCCTTAGGGTTTTTGAAACTCCAGTAAAAATACAGTTACCTTCCCTTCTGTCTATGCTGCTGCCAAAGCGTTTACTTGAATGCCAGGACCCAACGGGGGCCCAGCTGACGGGGCTTCCTGCAGGTCACGTGATTACAGGCGACGGACACACGGGCAGAGCTTCAACCCGGGGCTTCCAATCCATCCATTACTGGAACTGACCTCCAAAGGCATATCTGGGTGGTTGGGCTTTCAAAAGGGTGAAGCAGAGAAATGCTACAACTTGCCCCTTCCATCCCTGTGCTCCCTCCCCACCCCCTAACCGCCTGAGTTATTTTTAGGCCATGAGTCACCAATTGCAGTGGGCTGGGCCACCCTCCAGCCACTTTTCCACCTACTCCCAAAGTTGTTTGTGCTCATTGCTGAGGGGTATCACTGGCCGCCTAGGACACCCAGCCCCCATCGAGGGTCCTTTTCCCACAAAGCTGCCTTGCTGTTTGTTCAGGCACTGACCCATCCACACATTTTTTTAATTGCACAATAGACATCCTTGTCCTTATAGAAATCAGAGCAGTACAGATAATAATAGCTAGTGTTCACTGGATACTTATGACATGCTAGCAAACTCTTAACAAGTGCTTCTAAAAAAAAAGCCCTCATTTGTGGTGTTGGCTGATTCCCATGGTGTAAATACTCCCAACACGCGATTTCAAGCAACACACGCGATGTCACTGGAAGGGGAGCTGGGAAGAGATGGCCATGATCGGCTCTCACGAGCTGGTGTGGCTGCCTCCAGCACACCAGTAGATGTGCCCAAACCCTGTGAAAAGCTTTATGTACATCACCTTATTTAAACCTCACAAAAGTATATGAGATGGATGATATTATTGGTATTCTTCTTTTCGAAGTGAAGAAATTGAGATTCAGGGAGGTTAAGTATTTTGCCCAAAGTCACACAGTTAATAAGCTACAGAGCCAGAATTTAAACTCAGGGAGTCTGGCTCCCAGAGCCCATGATCTCAACTGGTCTCTCAAATAAGGGTAAAGAAATATATAGTGTTATGTGTTGTTTTTTTTTGTGTGTGTGTGGCGAGGAAGATCAGCCCTGAGCTAACATCCGTGCCCATCTTCCTCTATTTTGTATATGGGATGCTGCCACAGCATGGCTTGA